AATGATAAAACAGCAAAATCTATCGTCTAGTGGGCGCCTATGACGTTTTTAAGATAAGCATTTCGTCTGGAATGGACAAGAGTTTTGTCTTATCTATTTAACAAGCTATTTTTGTACCTAATTCTTAAGACACAATAATGACCAATATCGCAGTTTTAAATAAGACATAGAGACAAATTTGATGATACAATATATTAGTCACCATTTTATTCTTTCAGTGTCTACTATTAAACATAACCATAGTGGAGAGACTATTTATTAGAAACTTGTTATTTGTAGATATTTTATTTTTCTAATAAATGATGATGGAATAATGCATCAGCCTATGCTAATAGCATAAAACGGTGCACGATAAAAGAACTTGGATGAAGTCAGTTGTCCTATCGTCATGACAAAGTCCTATACCAGGGTAATCGTCGTCTTCCAACCCGTATCCCAGGGTACTATAGTATTGAATTTTATAAGTTGTCATATAACATTTATATAAGATAAGGTAATCTTTACTCTTGCTAATTTTAAAAATGTAAAAATTGGAGCCAGATTTGTTGCACCTAAACGTGTAAATGAATATTATAAAATTGAGCATATGTTACAGGTAGACCATATCCTAAATTGACACGCGGGATAATTTTAGGTTAGAAAAATGCTAGTATACGTATAAAAAACACCAAGTTAAGATGTTTTCTGATTCGCAATCGGTTTATATATATGTAATATAATATTGAAAATCTGAATTAATATAATATTGAGAATCTTCAATTGGTACGAGTGCCCAATTTGCAAGTTGAATTTTAAATTGTTTCAAGTAGAGAGCGTATTTTTACAAAGCATCTCAGAGTGCAGCGTTACATTAAAATTCAACCTTTTTTTTACAAATAATTTAACTTTTTTTTGTTTTCTTTTTTATATTTTAGTTTATTTTTTGAAAGTCACGATCACGTTGAAGTTTTTAGAAACAAAATGGCAATCGAAGAGTTTAAGAAATTGGAACTCTACGCCTTAAAGTATGATACATACACGTTACATAAACTATAGTAGAACTTTTAATTCTTCACGTCCAAAGGGTTTTTCCTTGCATACCATAGATATTTAGTATATTCATATATTAGTATCTAATTATTAAATTAGCACTAGAATCTCTTGGGTTCACTACCTTCGTATGGAACAAAACAATTGTAGTTAATTTGCCTGTTAACTACTAACTAATGGGTAATGTTAGCAGCGTGAGTTTGTAAATTTTCTGATTCAACGTAACGTGAACTGATTTCGTGATGTATTAATGTTGCTATATAGGATATGTTCTTTTTGTTTCTGATGATTGGTGACGGACTGAGAATTTAATATTACCGTCTCTTTTTATCTTTGGAATGTCGTAAGAGTCGGGACTGATGTGGATAATTCTTTTATTTTTCAATTTTTATTTGTTTCATTTCATGAACATTTACTGAATTTCTGCCTTTACCCATTTCGTGGTGTCTTGTATTCAGTAGAGCTAATTTAAAACCAATTTGTATTTTCAATCTCGAACACTACATTAACATGACCAAGGGGAAAAGTATTGTTAGTAACGGGATTTAACAGACAGCAAACAATCACCTCAACCTCTACGCAATTCCCCCTGAAAACCATCTTGGTTAAATCTTGTCGAATTCAACATGATGGGCTAATTGAATTGCTTCCATCCTTTACCTATTATTTGTCACTGGTGTTTCGGTCTATCGATTATAATTCATTAAAAAAACACGAAGTGACTTGTTTTTTTTTAATGGGCGATAAGTGGGTGAAACTCCGCCTGTATTGTCGGTATACGCTGACGGAGCATCAGTGAGGGAAGATAGGTGAGGATGAAAGCAGGTCAGTTAGGCCATCGTGGCGAATTCCATTAGAATTAACCATGATGGATTCCAAAGAAGACCGCGTGGAGATCGACCTGATAGGGTATTGATATTTATTGCTGGCAATGGGTCAGTTAGATCTCATTACTAACAATCCCTTTCGCCCCGAGGTGACCATATTAGTTTAATATATCAATATTTTTGTCGTTTTTTTTTTTACCCATGGCATGATATGGGAGGAAATGTTCGGTTTCACTGGTACTGATAATAATATTTTATAATAATCATAGCATAGCATATGATATTATTATTATTATTGAACAATTCTATCCGATAAGAGGTAATTGTTCTTAAAGGTCATCGTAACAGATGCACGCTTCTACAGGAAATTAGGACCTCAGGCGTTATTGACTCATCTCGTTCGATGATACCGATAACCCGACCAAATTGTGTTGACTCTATTCATAATGTATTTATTTAAAGAAGTATAAGATCCTCGAAAGTTGGTAAGGTTATCGCGAACGTTTGGTATACAAAGTATGTAATTAAGGGTCAGACAGTAATGTAGGTTAAATTGTGTTCCGCGCGTGTAGACACACAAGGAACAATGTGCTTATATCGATATATCTACATTATAATCAATATCCCCACGATTGTTTCTAGGGCTGTAGCTAGGGATAGTTTTTGGACCGCACTCAGAGAATTTTTTTTTTTTTTAATTTCAAATCTGGTCCTCAATTTTCTTTTTTTTTTATATGTAACTGTAATATGTAAATATAATATGTAACCAAAAATTTGGCGAAGATCCGAGCTTCGCTAATTCAGAACCGAATTTGATAATTTTTACACAACCGAGGTATTTACTCCCGTTGTTTTTTGCAGAGCAATATTTAAAAATTTATTTCCCGATTGCGCTTAAACTATTTTTTAATAGTAATATATATATTTTTTATTTTTCTATAATCTAAATTTATCTAAACTAAATTAGTTTTTGCCATTAGTTCTCCTACAAGGCATTTTAATAATAATTGACTACAAATCCTTTGAAGGTTTTTATACCAACATTAATTCGGTTTCTTATCAGTGTTTTCAATCACCGGATTATTAAAAAAAATATATGTATTTTTTTATATCATTGTGGTGGCAAATTAGCATACGGCCTAACTGATGGTAAAAGATTAGAGTTCACACATTTGCATTGTATGAGTCGTACGAATAGTAGTAAAGACACTGTATCATCATATCAGCCATTATCTGCCCACTGCTGAACATAAACCCCATAGACTGCCATAAGGAACGGTCCCAAATCATCTGCATCCACTGACTTCTTGCAATGTATTTGAGGTCATAGCTCCATTTAGTGGGGGGTTGTCCTATACTACGTTTGCTCATACGGGGTCGACACTCAAGAACCATGTAATAAGCAAAACAGAAATATGACATTCAATCAATTACATTATGGTTACTTACTCTACTATCACTCTTTTGAAGAGAAACGTATGTCCAGTAGTGGTACATTAGTGACTAGTTGCGAAATTACGTCATTCCCCATGTGCTCTAAATGAAAATATCTAGATTCTAAAGCGTTTAATATCTTTCAAAGCCAATTAACCTGGGGCAGTTAACGGATTATTAGCACATAAACGTGATGCGGACCTCGTAAATATCAGATGTGGGTTAATTGCTATTTTATTTTGCGATGATATCGAGATGTGACCCCCGACAATGATTTCTGAGGCCACTCAGGTTGTGGGAAGACATTAAAGCCGATTGAATCAACCGCACACCGGCAGCGTAGCCGGCAGCGCTCTCTCACAACACTTCGAATCTTATCATTGTCAATTTAATAAATTTATCGCGTTTTTACGTATTTATTTTATAATACAAAATCGCCTTTTGTACTTTATAAGTGTAATGTATATTTATTTTTGTATTATTATTTAAGTGGTGCAATAAAGAGTAAATAAACAAATAAATAAACGGTAAACAAACTGATCGGCTGTTTATATTTAAACAATTCCAAAGAGGCAAGTCACAATTCGTTTGATTTGTCTATTTACGTCACCGATTCTGAACCGATTTTCAATATTTTTTATACAAATGATATAAAATAGTAAATATATAGAATATTCGATATTTTTCAGTCCTGTTTTATATTAATCAAAATGTACTTGTTAGAACTATTTAAATTTAAATATTTTTTTTATTTTTTTGCCAAAAAAATATATTTATTGTTATTTATTTATTTAAAACTATATTCCGAACTCAAAATATTATAGACTTTTATAAAGTTAGCACAAATACCTACATGATAATAATAATACTTATTTATATGTAGATATCACGAATTTACTGCACGTTTTGCTGTCAGATTATCGGTTTATTTCCGAGTGAACGAGAATCGCCCTGAGCACCTATCAAGCCAGCAGTAGTGTTTTACATTTTCGCTTACAGAGAAATGTTTCTCTAAAAATTCTGGTGGATTAAAAAGCTCACCATACATCATAATAGGAATTGCTAGGCATTTATTATATATAATTTCAACTCAAAATAGAATACCAAGAGAATAATTGTCATTATCATTGACTTTATATTAAAAAGTAGTTAATTATTTATCCAAGAAATAATTCTTTTAAAAAATATGACAGTTTGTTACAATCATTTTTTGCACTTGTTATGAATGATCAATAAACTATGTTATTAAAGAATTATCCGTTATAGCTTATATATGAACTTAATATAGAAATGTAAATTAATGTGGTTTTAAAAATAAAACGTTACTTATAAGGAATATCTAAAATTTCAATGCTGCAAAATATTTAAAACTTTAAAAAGCTTAATTCTATAAATATTGTATAATAATTTATCTTCGTTTCTTTCTTTATAACACTGGACAGGGCTGTATAAATAGACAATAAAATAGGAGTGTTGTGTTTATGTATTGACAAGACAATACCCGTAGACTTGGCATGGCCATAAATATATGGTAGTAATAATAAAAGAAATGTCCTAGCCGTATAGTGTAATGTCCTTTGCCTTTCTAAACATTGAATAAAATTATTGACGCGTAACCCTTTCCTGTCACAATACCTCATTACATTAAGATATTTTAATAAGTTCACTTCAAAACAATGAAAGACTTTCATATTGTCTCTTTCTTTCCAGACAAATCCTGATGGAATGGAGGAATCGTCGGCAACCGCCGATATCTTTTTTATCAAGCTTATTATGAACTGAGCGAGCAACAAGCGAAGCTCCTACCAAACGCTATTATGTCTGTGATCGCGCGCCACTAGTGATAATTGCATTGTATTAAGTCCATGTTTTGTGTCGTTGGACACTGTGGTTGTGTCGGCTAGTGCGTCCGCAATGGATACATTACACGTGGGTCATGGCCATAGCAAGGGATCCAGCCGGAGCCAGTCGCCGTCGGCCGCCGAGCTGGCGAGAGACCCCGCGGTGGTGACAGACGACGCTGTTATCAGATCCAGGGTTCAATCACCTTCGACCGTTCATCACGTTGTTAGTGTGAGTACACCCATGTGTTTAGTTTACATTAGTAGTTCCGGCTCGTAAACTAATATTTGTAAGTGTATCGGCAGCATTGGTTTTGCATCGTAAAACAGCTCTGGTCTTACGCTGATGCATGATCTTATAATGGGTTATGAATGCGGTCGGTTTATTTTTAGAGGTATATGTAGAGTTGTAATTACTAGTCGTAAATAGTTGCTATCGGTAATAGTTTCAGTATCTACGATATGTTACACGGATATTGAAGTATTTATCGACTCAAAGTACTCTAGTCCAGTAATTTACCCATGTGATAGTAATCTAATAAGGATAAGGGGACGGAAAGATGATGTGACCAAAAAGGGAGTGAATACTGGAATGACTGCAAATGGAAATTAATGGGGGAGAAAAATATATTACGCCACCCCAAATAAGTTATGGAATAAGGGTAGGACTTTGATGATGAATAGTAATGCGAATATTTTTGGACTTAAAAAGGGGCTCTTCAATTTGACTGTAATGTAATATACTTTATTATTATATTACGAATATCTCATAATAACCTATTTATTATTTAAGTAAAAGTTATCACACACACCAAGTATCAAAATATATTCCGTACTTTTTGCATGATACGTACCCAAATATGGTCTAACGACTTTAATTACATTAAATGCGTATGATGTAATAACTGAGATTTTCAAGCATCATTTGCTTCTAAATGTTCCAAATACTATGTGTACTTATTTATGTCCAAAACAATCGCACTTTTTGTCTATTTGTCATACTAGGTCACGCTCTGATCAATAAAAACAGACAATAAAATAAATAGCAAAATCGAAGGCAACCTAATCTCAGTTTAAAAGTTTAATGCACACTAAGGAGGTACTTTCAACAGTGCAACTGAGGCGTCAATTTAGATACTTCTTGAATATAAGCAAAAATTTTACCAGCAATTTACTAACCGTTGACTGTAACATCTTACTTTCACCGATTTCTATTGTACGCTTCTAAATTGTACATTATAATAAATATACTGTGAAGTCATTGTTGTACTTCAACTTCAGATGTTAGATAATTATATATTAAATAATAAATAATCAATGAGTTAAATTAATATCTAGAAATTTTGAGTAATACACTTGCGACTTTATGACATATCATAAACTAGTCCATGTGTATGAATGAAAGTGATATTCAACCGACTTTAAAAAGAAGGAGGTTCTCGAGTCGGTTGTTTTTTTTATGTTTCTTACCTCATAACTCCGTCAGCTCTAAACCAATTTGGGTTTTTTTTATCTAATAGGATATACATACAAATTAGTCCCATAGAAGTTTAATCCAAATCGATTCAGTAGTTTAGTTCTGAAGCTGGTTTTGTCACAATTGAAGTCGAATTTTTTTGTGGGACACACTCTTTTATTATCGATTTCACCGAGCATATTGGAATCCATGTAAGGCGCATACTACCATCGGGATTGTGACCTCTTTAAGGGATGATGACCTGATTTGAGTGGAAATTTGGACCGACACTGATCTTTGTTAGGACACGCTGTAACAGTTTTTGGTACTCTTAATAACTATCGACCAGAACGCGTCCGAGATTGCGCATTTGCGTTTCAATTACTTCATAAGTAGGAGTTATTATTTTTCTCTTCCCATTTCATCTTATCCCATTTACTTTCCTAATCTTTTAATAAAGTACCAAGTAAATAACGACCTATCTGAGCCAATTAACAAAGCGTTTTCCGTTATGTGATCAGGGCATTAATCAAATTCTCCCGGGTCGAACCGCACGATCGGTAGCATATAAATAATAGACGTTCAATAACTTCGGTACTTATTAAGTGCATATCGGGATGTTGACTCACGCTTGACTTCGTGAGTCACTCAATATCGTAACCGCAGAAGCACAAGAGTTACTCATTAAGCAAGTTAGTAGTACAATCTGACATACCCTTCAATCTGTTTGATTTCCTTCATCCTATTTGAATTACAAATACGATTTACAGTACGAAATCTGAGGAATCAATGTTTATTTGGCCTAATGTTGTTTGATGTTTGATTTATCTTTTACCTTCATAATGTTGGTACTACATAGATGCACAGATGGTAGTAATAGAGTATGAATAAATCATCTATTAATACAGAGTAAAAGCTTTAGATATCAGCACAATCTTGCCTTAGCTACCCACTACTGTATCTGATCAGGCTTAACAGTGGCATACTACAACGTGAAATAAAGCCCTGGTGGAAATGTACTGCTGCCATAGCCTTGAAATCTTCAACGAATAGGTTACGTCCGCACGTTCGTATGTTTATTATTACTAGTTACTCAATTATTACATATTAGCATTCACCGCTGTTTCGTTTCGCCCGCATGGTTATTGTAAATTATTCAGGGGAATTTCATCCCGCGAACGCTCAAATTATGAAATGCTTCCAACTGAGGTTTTATTTAGGAACTGCAGCGTGGGATTTTAATTAAGGGCAGAATATTAAGTTCTCTTCAAAGTGGTAACGCGCGCGTTACAGACACCTGCGCCAGCCGTATTCATTTACAATTTTTTTTGTACTTCTTTTCTCAAATTCCAGAGTTTTGGTATTGTATGAATATGTAATAAAATATGTTCTTGTATATAAATAAGTATTTAACTAAAGGTCAATAAACATAATTCAATTTATAAAAAAAAACAATATTAAAACAAATTGTTGTGTCAGCCCTTAACTGTCCACTGCTGAACATAGCCTTCCCCATAAGGGGGGTTTTGCCAGTAGTTGCCACGCTTGGCACAGGCGGGTTGGCAACCGCAGTTAGGTCTTTGGGGATGTTTTAAGGGGGACGCTGCTGCCCATCCCTCGACTATAAGTTAAAACAAATATTTTTATCTAAATAAAATCTCTTGGCTACGCTTTCTTCATGGAATCCATTATTTCTCCAAAAGTATTTTTTTGTATTCCCTAATTCTTTATTGCGAATTAAGTTTTAATTACAGTTGTTTGGGATCTACTCTATCTCGATATCAGTTAGGCAGTTTCTTGCTTTATAAATAGCTTCTACTCTCTATCTGTTACATGTTACTCTATGGCGAAAGTTTATGAAGTGTATCTTTTTCCATCCATTTATAGCCATGTAAATATTATCACAGTATGAAAGTTTTGTTTACAATCAATTTTTTTACTAGCTTGTAAAACGTTTACACTCTTGACTAAAGAACATCTAATAAGAAATAAGAATGTTTATGTGTGATACTTGATACTTTATTCGCGGAAAATTTTTGATGACGTCATTCGTTCTATACATATATGTATTATATAGGAAAAGCGATACATGCTTAGCCTTTCTCTTTTACCAAAATATAAATGTAATTGTAAAGAAGTAAATACTTCGCAAAAAAATGGCAACATCAATAGTGAGCAAATTAATAATCAATCACAATTGAAGTAAACCATTGGGTTTACATCCATATCGATCTTTATACTTACTTTTCCGATATAATTTGATTGCATAATGAATAAAAGTAACTCAACAGTTACTATTTTCAAATCGTTGACAATTTAGAAACAGTACATCAGTTAATTATAACTAATTAAATCTAATTATAGATGAGTATTCAAGATTAGTAGTTTACTACATATATATTATATGGAATTATAATAATAAATGTTAACCATAATCACCAAAATTGATTTGATAAATTTTCTGATCGTGGTAATGCCTTTTAATTTGTTAATTTTCTTTTTTTCTTGGAGCAAGAAATATATGAATCACATGAATATTCCATTTTTGACCTCTAAAACGACATAAAACTTAATAAAAATAAAAACTGTGGAAGCCTTTTATTCGAGCCCAATTTACTTAACGTTATTCTTCTTATAGATATAGATCTTAATAATTGATCAACATAATAGATAGAATGTTACCGCAACTTTTTAGGTTTTTTAATGAACGTAAAGCGTATATAATATAACAAATGAACATAATGTATTCACGCAATGCCTCGCATAGACGTCACAATGAAAATTTATTTGAAAGCAACGCAATTAAATAGTTGTATCGCAAAAATTTAATCCGGAAACTAGATAGATCGGCGACAGAAACAACACTTAGGCAATCCGCCAAGAACTTATAAAATTTCATTGCGCTGTAGCTAAACTTATACCGTCACATAGCATATTTACGTTATTATTTTACTAGTTTTGTCTGTGTTGAATAGTAGTCATGTTGTCAAAGAAAGAAGTTAAGACATTCTATGTGCATGAGTTTGTCGGACAAAAGAATGTAAATAATCATAAAGTTTAGACATCTAACGTTTTCCATCGCCGATAAAAATTGACAACTGAATGCATTTTGTTAGTATGGGATTGAGAAATTGTTTGTTATTTTTTTGCCTATTTTAAGAAAAAGTTCAGTTTTATAGGTAGAATACGTGCCTTAAAAGGATCCCAATTATTTTGATTTTTAAGACTGTAATATGGGTTTGCAATTACAATCAAACGATTGCAAATTACGGTAGAGATAGGAAGTGAAAACGCGATGTTTGTCTTAGATAATTATAGTATTAGTTTGCACAGCAAACACTCGTAACTCTGGGACGTAGTAATTAGAATATTCCATCACCCTGGTGCCTGTATAACATATAGTAGTCTAATGTCAGCTTTGAAAATTTTTAAATGCGTAACATAATCCTGCTTTAGGTAATCCTAAATAATATGTTAAAAATTTTACTTATTTAAAAAACATATTTAATTTTGTTTTTGCTTTTAATTTTGTACGAAATTTGTGACTATGAGTGTGTCCCAGCTGTGTTTCTGTAAGGAAGTGGCTATGTTTGCATGGCTGTTTCGGTTTAAGGGTTTTTTAATGGGTTATAAAGGAATAATAACCCCGCCTACATTAACGGTATACGCTAGCGGGGCACCAGTGAGTGAAAAGGCAGATCAGTTAGCCCATCGTTATGATTACACTTGGCACGATGGTTTCCAGGGGGACCATGTGGAGGTCGACCTAACAGGATATATTGCTAGCAATCGGGTTGTTAGATCCCATTACTAACAACCTTTTCCCCTCCGGTTTGAAGGATGATTTCAATGGTGCTGTTCATATCTTTAGCTATTATACCTATCATTTTCTATCGAGTGGGATGCCAATTGGTTAATCATTTTAAGTGTCTTAAATAAATATAGTTTTCCTTTTGGATCAAGCTGTTGGTTTATTTTTTTACAGAACACAATCTTATTTTTTTTTAATGCAACTTAGAATGGCAAACAAGCTGACGGCCCACTTGATGGAAAGTGGTAACCGTTGCCTATAGACATAAACAGTACCATAGACATAACAGAGTATACTGTTCCCTCCATGATACTGTCCATGCATTGTCATTCCTAAGGACTCAGGTGTTATTCCTCTATATTTTGTAAATTCATTGCCATATCCCACCCTTCAAACCGAAGCACAGCCATGGTAACAACGGCTTCTAGGTAGAAACACGAACGGGACAGAGGTGCTAAAGCAAACGACTTTTGTACAAAGTCTACCTCTGGTAAAATCTTATTGTCTATTCTTTAACTTCGACCGCATAATACATTAGAGTACAGAACAAAATCAATACCGATGTTGCGATTGGAGTTATAAACAACTCGAACACGGCACTATTCACTTTAGTAAACTTTGATATTTATCCTTATTGTTTGTTTTTACTCTGTCACCTTGGATGTTCGTATTCGTTCCCATCGTAAACATTGTTTTATGATATTTACACATCCTTGCTAATATCGTGCGATAAGGGTGTCGGGTCCTTACAGCTTCGCGATTAAGTCACATAAAATAATAGATTTTCACCAGTGATTATCTATGTGGGCTATAACGCCCGCTTGTTAATGCTGGAGTTCTATATGGGAAGGGCTCTTAGAAGACAGGGAGTGTTATTGTTATAAAGTTGTGTTAATATTGATTGCACTCAGAAGTAAGACTTATATATGGCACGCTGTAAATAAAGTAATAATTTCTATTATGATTTTTTTTAATGGATGATAATGGAATGGTAATCCCACCCGTGCTATCGGTATACACCGGCGGGACACCAGTGAAGGATGATAGATGAGGATGAAGCAGGTCAGTTAGCCCATCGTGATGAATTTAACAAGAATTGTTCACGATGATTTCCAGGGGGAACCACGTGGAGGTCGACCTAATAAGGCATATTGCTAGCAATGGGGCTGTCAAACTCCATTGCTAACAATCCCTTTCCCCCCTATGATTTTTTATTGTAGTTACAATTATTATAGGACACTAGAAATAAAATAGATTCTCAAAGAAAGCAGTATACTCTATACCTATTCTGTCACATTTGTTACTATTTTATAGTTACTGATTCTAATTCCTCTTTTTTATCTTTTATTCCAGGAGCCGTCATCGAGCTCGTCGTCTCGCCACGGCGAGCGCGTGACGCACCACGTCAAGTCTCACTCCAGAGATCTCGGCAACAGTCCACTTTCAGCTAACACAACGGGCAACAGCTCTAGAGAGTGAGTGTACAGATTCTTCGAATTAATAATTACTTTACAATATTCTTACTAAGAAAAAGCGAAACACAATTTCCTACAAAATTTACACAAAGTCGCTCGAGTGGTTTACGTTATCGTTCCTAATACTAAAGACTTATCTTTTTCTACTTCTGCATTCCTGGTGAAATACATCCTAAGACGAATTCATGGTGAATATTCTTCTGGTTTAAAATATTTTATTGCAAGCCAAATCATTAGAAGAACAATAAAAAAGGCTACTTTTTGTATCCAGTATTAAAAAAATTGGTGTAATGAGTATTTAGAATAGGTTTTGGTCATGGGACAAATAAAAAAGTGGACAACAGAATCTATGTATTTACAAAGGCACTTTCTCCCACGCACAACCACTCTTTGGAATCAACTTCCAGCAGCAGTATTTCCGAACCGATACGACAACATAACCTTCAAGAAAAGAGCATATTCCTTTTTAAAAGGCCGGCAGCACACCTGCAATGCCGTAGATGTTGTGGGTGACCATGGGTGGCGGTAGTCACTTACCATCAGGTGAGCCGCATGCTCGTTTGCCCCCTGTGTTGTAACATTGTCACATTGATGTTTCTGCCATCAACTAGTTGCGACTGCGCGACTGTTATTGAGATAGGAGAGTGGAAAAATTGATGTATATATATATATATATATATATATACCCACATTCCATGATATGGGACGTGAATTTGTTTATTAATTTAAATTATAAACAAGACTAGAAGGCCTCATATAAAAGTAACTTTTTAAAATGTTTTTATCTCAACTATTGCAGTTTAGAAGACTCGCCGCAGAAGAAGATTATATCAGGTCTGATAGCACCAGGGGAGTATGCGAGCGCTGTCTACAGCCCTAACGTATCCTACAACCTGTCATCGGCTGATGAATATGGCTCTCCCAGTTATAGAGGTATTAAATATTAATTATGCATACAAGACACATGCATCAGATTTTGCATAATGTGACCATGAGTGACATTAATTGTTATGCACGCGATAGTACTGGGGACACTTACTGTACACGTCGTGCCAATATCGCTCGTTTCCTTGAAAGGAAAGCTGCTAACTACTGCCTGAAATCGAAAGTATTCTACTAACAGTGTAGTCTAGTTCACAAGGTGAAATCGAAGCTGTTAGCCGTACGTAAAACTTAGTATCTACATATGTTATGGAATATATTAGGAAAGATATTTCGTAAAATAAAATTTCAAAAACAACAAAACTGACCTTACCTAACCACTGTATTTATATGGGAGTTTCTCTTTGTCCCGGTACGTTGTTCTATCATATGGTACCAACATAGACTTTTTTATGGGTAAAAATGGGTTTTTTTTGTATACCACTGAGATGGCAAACCAGTATACGGCCTACCTGATGGTAAGTGGTTACCGTAGCCTATGAACACCTGCAATACCAGAGGTATTACGCGTGCGTTGCCGACCCTGAAGAAACCTCTTTACCCCCTTTTGAAAAACCCCATGCTGTAGGCACTTGGAAAACCTCGGCAGAGAGCTCATTCCACAACCTGAGTGTTCGTGGGAGGAAACATCTCTGAAACTGCGCAGTACGCGATCATTGAGGCTGTAGGGCATGAGGATGAACTCTCTGTCGATGGTGAGCCGTACGATGGTAGAAAGTGTGGGCATCATATTGAACAATTCCTCTGAGCACAATCCGTTGTACAAGCGGTAGAATGATATGTGAGAATGAAAGCAAGTCAGATAAGCCATCATGACAAATTCAACTAAATTTAACTATGGTTTTCAGGGAACTGCTTAGAGGTCGGCTTAATAGGATATATTGGTAACCCCCTCTATACGTGTGTATATGACACAAATGTATTGCTACAACTGCCGTGTATGTGAGATTTAACGTGCCATGTATGTCAGAGCTCCTTGAACTAAAACGTCTTTTTTGTCAAGTATTACTTTACAAAAAAGACGTTTTAGTTCAAGGAGTCTTACCCTTGAGACTTAAATACGCAGTACCAGAGGGAGACTTTGTACAAAAGTCTATTGCTTGGATACCTCTGTTCCATTCGTCTTTCTACCGTAAAGCAGTTGTGTTTGCATGGTTGTGTTTCGGTTTGAAGGGTGGGATATGACGTGAATTTACAGGGTACAGAGGAATAACATTTGAGTCCTCAGGAATGGCAACGCATGGGGGATATCATGGGTGAAACAGTATGTGTGTGTACTGTTATGTCCATGGTACTGGTCATGTCTATAGGCGACGGTTACCACATTCCATCAGGTGGGCCGTCAGCTTGTTTGCCATTCTAAGTCGTATAAAAAAAATAAGAATTGTTGCTTGACAGCATAAATTTATAAGACGATGCTACTTAGAGATTTGTTTCAAATTACCAACAGTATATAATATTGGTCTGATGAATTGTTTCAGGGCAAGACGGTGATTATCTGGGTAAGATTTTTTTTATTTATTAAAACGTAAGGTTTTACACTCAACAGACGCGGGTTACAGCCGTAACCCGTGTGCCATGTCATACATATCACATATTAGTAAAAAAAATAATTTTCAACCAACTTTTAAGGACGTAGGTACTCAATTCTGTTGTATTTTTTTATATTTGTTGCCTTATAACTCCATCAGTTTTAAACCGATTTGAAAAATATTTTTTTTATATGAAAGAACGTACAGATTGGTCCCTTAGAAATATTATATAAAAAAGTGGTTAAGTAGTTTAGTTTTATATAGTTTAGTTTATATATAACTGGTTTTGTTACAATTGAATTAAGTCTTTTTTTTTTATACACAATCTTTAATTATGAGAAAACTCGATTAAAATTTTGAATGAATTTTCTATATTAACTATCTAGTTCAATTAGACCAAATAATATTATTTATATTTTATTTATTTGTTATTATTTTTTTTTTTATATTTTTATTTTTAAAGGAAAAGTGAAAGTTTTCAATGATCATTCATTATTTAAATAAATTATTACTATTTAATCCTTATTATTAAAATTAAAGGAGTATATAGATTAAAAGAAAACTTTACAGATTTATAATAGATCTTAAAAAAAATATGCTAATAGCGCGTAACCCATGTAAGTTAAGATAATCAAGCATGGCGTAACACGGCAGCCCTGAATTTTACCTTTTTTTTATTTTTTTATACAACTTAGAATGGCAAACAAGCTGACGGCCCACCTGATGGAAAGTGGTAACCGTTGCCTATAGACATGAGCAGTACCATGGAAATAACAGAGTATACTGTTTCGCTCATGATACCCCCCATGCGTTGCCATTCTTGAGGACTCAGGTGTTCTTCCTCTGTACCCAGTAAATTCACGCCATATCCCACCCTTCAAACCGAAACACAACCATGCAAACACAACTGCTTCACGGTTGAAACACGAACGGGACAGAGGTACCCAAGCAATCGACTTTTGTACAAAGTCTCCCTCTGGTGAATTATAATATAAAGCGTTGCTATTTTTTAAATTTTGCATATAGTTTATTTGTACATAACAAATTTCGTTCAAATCCGTCCGCCGTTTAAGCTTAACTGAGCAGTAAACATTCAGGCATCTAATTGCCTATATAATAAACCTGCCTACCATCCCAGGTTTATGTTTCATTAATTATCCTACTTTTTCCTGTTCTTTTTTTTTTAATTTAATATTTTCCTCATACCGGAACAGTTCCATACACAAATAGAATAATTTAACAGAATATTAAAGTATGTAAACATAATTTTAAATGTAATAATATTTTTGATATCTTTTCCCAAAGACGGTTGACGTCAGGCAGGCGACCGGTCGTAAAACTAAGCCAAATCTTTTTGTTATGTGAATAAAAACATTACGCTGACCCCAAATAATAATTGGCATAGTAGGAAGATGTTGAATATTTTTGATATCTAATTAATTTAAAGCTTTAATCGTGTTATTACTTGATGATACCTACCTTAAATAATATAACTAACCTAGGCCTATTATTATAATATTAATTATTACTATATTAATTGGCATTAGTTGGTACGTTATGTTGGTATATTTATCAATACCTAAGTCCTTAATTAGTAATTTATTATTATGATTAGTATATTTACTAACATTATAAATGCTAAAGTTTGTGAAGATAAGTGGATGTTTGTACACTTCATATTTCACATCATCATATCAGTCGGTGACTGTCCACTACTGAAAATTGATCTCCCACCTGTGGTGGGGGTAAGGGGGGGGTTGGGGGAATTGCCAGTAGTTGCCACGCTTGGCAGGTGGGTTAGAAACTTGGTTTTGATGATGATAAGAAAGACACTGCTGCCCATGTTGTTGATATGTATCAAAATATTCCTGTTCACTATCTGTGGTAATATTTAATAAAGGTGCAACACTGGTTGTTTGGTACATGTGAAAGTGACACGTATTTTTATTCGTTCCTTAATATATTAATATATTAAAATAAAATTACACATGTCTTGACCATTAAGTTCCCTTAGTCGCCTCTTACGACACCCACGGGAAAGGAAGGGGTGGCTCCCTCTATGTCGGTACCACACGGCTGATATGGCTAAAATAAAATTTGTTATATACGTTTTAACGGCTGAACAGATTTGAATGAGATTTGGTGTGCGGGCAGTTTATATCCTAACTTAACACAGGATAATATATGTTATTATTCATGCGGGTAAAACTACGAGTAACACTTAGTTTGAAAATAATTATGTCTCACATATCTGGTACATAATAATGTATTTATGTACGCATGTTTCCTGTTGATAAATGTAATGAGTAATTTTTGGTCAGTAATGTTCAATCGTTCGTTCTTGTTCAGCGATTTTATTTGTTTTTATAATAATATAAACAAAATATATAGTATATTAAAAACAAAAATTTATACGTCAAATTTCTGTTATGGAAATAGTGTTAAAATGTATAATTTTAGAGTTATTTATTTAAAGAAACGATTTTACTTTTAACTTTTAAATGGTATAGAAATATTATTTATAATTTTCTAATATGTTTGTATTGTTACTAATATAAATTTCATATAGTTATTTTTAATGGTTAAATTAGAAAAAATCTTATATAAGTTTACTCGAGAGTTATGGACACAATGAAATGTAAGTACCTAAATGGATAATGAAACATATATATTATTATTTTATTTCAAAATTTTAAATTCTTATTAATGTAGATGAATTTCGTATCACCTACAGCGCCATCTATTAAAAATAATTTGAAGTAGCGATTTCTATACAAAATCATTTATTTTTTAATTTATGGCTTTTTCACTTAATTCTATGGTTTCTCCAACTTTTTTTTCTTTTGAAGCCACCCCTTTGTTATAACGAACAAAACAAAAGAAAAAAACATTTAAATCGGTCAAACCATTTTTTAGTTTTAATGAAACTAATTAAGAGCAGTTGATTTTTATATATACGTACGTAGACATTAAAATGAGTTTGCTTCCTCTTGGTACTTTACCTATCCACATGAAACTTGACTTAAATTACATAGGATAAGATATAATACTGGTGTACTAATTATTTCATGCTATTAGACTACCTTCGAACTAAGCGAGTTGATAAGTTTATTATTATGACTAGCTATATCCCGCGGCTTTGCCCACGTGAACAAGTAACGTAAAAGTAACCTATGTGCTAAATGAGGGTATAACCTACCTATACACTAAATTTTATTTATATTCATTCAGTAGATTTCGCGTGAAAGAGTAACAAACATCCATCCATCCCGTACAAACTTTCGCATTTGTAATATTAATAAGCCTATTAATGTCCATGATTGAATTTATTTTTAATTTTCAGACGAAAGCGACGGCAACTCGAATGTAACGTCATCCAAGGCTCTAGCAGCTATTGCCCATCTCAACACAAAAATTGAGCGCACCAAGGACCTAATACGTCTCGAACAGACGATACGGGATGGTTAGTATTTTTTTTTTTTTGGAGATAATAATGGTATATTATTATATGTATCACATCTCCCATATTTAAAACTAACAAAATTTTTCATCTTGCCTCCCACCAAATTGTTTATAATTACTCCTCTCCATCCAAAGGTTGTCTGGAAAAGATCGCTCTTAGCGATAAGGTCGCCCATTGTTTTCTCATTGTGATTATTTCTTGTAATTATTTATATTTATAATAAGTTTAGTGTTGTAATCTTTTGGAGGAAACAATGGGTATCTATCTATCTATAGTAACCCTGTCAGACTACTACTGGTACACGCTGGCGGGGAACCAGTGAGAATGAAGTTAGATCGGTTGTCCTATTTAACGAAATCACTATAAATTAACTACGATGGATCGAGCACTCAAATTATTGAGTGCAATAACGCATGGTTAATAACGCCGGTGTTGCTAGCGTTTGTGGGTTGAGGTAGTCGATTATCGTCAGACTGGCCATATGCTTATCATCCCCATTGATAATATTCAAGGTACAATGATATACTTATTTGAAAGTATTTAACATGTGTAACTATGTATTTGTAAATATGTTATTTAATATTATATATAATTTAATTTATATTTATAATTGTGGGGTCAATTCTGAGGTTAATTTCTCTAAACCTACAAAAAGAAAAATTAAATTAGCTATCACAGTGACATTTTTATCCTAAAGACCATGGTGAACTAAATTAAAATAAAAAAAAAATAGATTTAATTAAAAATTATTATAAATTATTTTTATGATGATTTATAAAAGAGTAATTTCGCGAAACTATCAAATCAAAGTATTAAATTAAAAGAAATTTAGAGAAATGCCACCTCAGTATTAACCCCAGTATTCCTTCCGTGGTATACCACGGAAAGAATACTGGGGGGTACCCAGTTATAATTGGGAACACAGCCACATACAAATAGGAGAGAGATATGGGTTCAAATCCACTCAAACTGCAGGAAGATAAATTATTCAACTTTTTTAATATTTACGTAAATTGTGTAATAGACAATGTGAACGAGTACCTGAAATTAGCGGCAAACGCGGACAAACAACAGCTGCAGCGTATCAAAGCGGTTTTCGAAAAGAAAAACCAGAAGAGTGCGCTCTGTATTGCGCAGCTACAGAAGAAGTTAGAAGGATACAACAAACGGATCAAGAATTGGGAAGTAAGTCTCTTAGAATTATCTAGAATAACGGTAGAATAGAAAAACATTTATTGCCAGAAAATACAGTTTCATTGTGTATAAGATGTATCTAAAATAAGGCAAAAGACATCGCAGCATCAGCTGCGAGTGTCCCAGTGCAATATGTATATATATAGCTGCATAGTGCTGGTTTTTAGCTAGATCCTCTCTTGACAAAATAAAAAAAAAAAAATACAACGTAATATAATAAAAAAATAAAATATAATGAAATATGCAACTATGGAAATAATACCAGTGCATCTGTAGGGACAGCTGTAATGTGCTTTTATGCTCGAAAACGGCGGGGTATCAGTGAGTAAGGATAGATAAAAATGAAACCAGGTAAGGCCCATTGTAATGGTTTTATCAGGAATTAACCGTGATAGTTTCCAGGGGGACCGCATCAAGTTTGACCTGATAGTATAAATTGGACTTCTAGTCCTCATTATTAACAACCCCTTCACCACCTTCCCCATTTGTTGAGTATAAAGCGATGAGGACGCTTGGCTCATCATGATGGATTTGCTAAAGATTAACCATGATGGGAGGGGGGAAAGGGATTGTTAGTAATGGAGACTAAAAATCCCATTGCTAGCAATATACCTAACCAGGTCGACCTCTACGCGGTTCCCCCTGGAAACTGTCATTATTAATTATTCATGATGAATTCATCATGATAGGCTAATTAGCCTGTTTTCATTCTCATCTATCACCCTTCACTGGTACTCCGCCAGCGTATCCCGTTAGCGCAGACGGGGTTACCATACCATTTTCATCCAACAAACCATGATGGGACCTCATGGAGGTTAACGGGATGGAGTATTACTGGCAATGAACATTAGCACCCCCATTACACAATTAGTATCAATTATAAATGTCTAGCCAGCATCTTTCATCTGAACTTAATCTTAATATTTGTTTTTTTTTTCAGCAACATGGTACAAGTGGTCAAGCGCACAGACAACCTAGAGAAGTTCTACGGGACATGGGACAAGGACTCAAGTAAGATTTTTGTTGATGAATAATAATTTTCATGAGTCATACCGTGTCGTAATTGTTTCGGGCATTCCCGAATTTAATATGAGTACCTCTAGTGTTTTTTTTTGGGATTTGTCAAGGTTTTTATACCACTGAGGAAGAAGTTAACTATAGAAATTAGTAGTTATACTTACCACCTATGGGCATGGACAAACAATGCAAATTATACTGTCCTGCCCAACGACACACCCCATTTGGTCTCCTCTACCATACCTATCTCTTCTGAAAATGAACTTTTGCCTTTTCAGATTGGCAATTAAATAATATAAAAATGTAATATGTAAACAAATAATCCACATTGTTTTCATATCAGGCGTTAAATATCCACGGCGGGTTTGCAATTGCAGTTAGCCTTTGGTGATGTTTTAAGAGGGACGCTGCTGTCCATTCTTCGACCATTAAGTTTCCTTAGTTTTCTCTTACGACATACATTAAAGGAAGGGATGGCCCATACTATGCCGGGACCACACGGCGAAAACGTATTATAGAGTTCCGTATTCGCTACGGGAGCCATTTGATAGAAGCTAAGCTCGTCCTATTTAGCACTAAAGTACTTGGGATTATGTATATATGTGTAATACTATGAAAATATAATTTGTATTCTTTGAATATTGCTAAAAATTCATGAATTCTCTATAGACTTTACTGGGTACAGAGGAATAACACCTGAGTCCTTAGGAATGGCAATGCATGAGAGGTATCATGAGCGAAACAGTATACTCTGTTATGTCATGGTGCCGTTCATGTCTATAGGCGACAGTTACCACTTTCCATCAGGTGGGCCGTCAGCTTGTTTGCCATTCTAAGTTGCATAAAAAGACATATTCGTAATTGCTGATTAAAATCTGTGTTAATGTATATACATATAATGCGTATACTTTTGACATGTCGGCGCTTTATGGACAGCAACCTGTATTTAATATCTTTTATCTAATAATATTGCACGAAAGTTGCCTTAACTTAGGTACCTCTGTTCTATTCGTATTTCTATCCTGAAGCAACTGTGATTTCATGGCGGTTCGTAGGGTGATATGTGGCAATAGAACTACAGAACGCGGAGGCATAACACCACAGTCCTCATTTCCAGTTTTTATTTTCTGGTTTTCTGGGGCACGATCCACGGAAAATTTTCAGGGGGAACCGCTTGGTCGTTGACCTGACAGGAATTATTAATGGACTGCTACTCCCTGTTACTGGCAATTTTGATCCTCCCTATATGCGTATTCTTTTCCTCAGCATGACCATCAGCTTGTTTAAATAATACATTTAATGTTGCTAGAAATGTGGGAGGCAACATACGCGACGGCATCACCGGCCTGGGCGGAAGCGTGATGGCGGCGCCCCGTGAGTTCGCCCACCTGTTCTCGCGGTCCAATCGCTTCGGCTCGGCGGATAACATAGCCCAGCTCGCCGGTCTGTACAGTCGCTTAACATGTTTAATTTATTGACTGTAGCCTAGTGCTAGTGCCACATTAACGTGACATCCGTGGGCGGAATAACGAAATGTTTTATTGAAATTAATTCAATTTAGTTCAGGCACATGATGTAGCAGATTCGAGTCAGAGACTAACCACCTTTATTCAATAAAAACAACAATCTTTTAAAATAGCTGAAGTAATTCAAGTATTATTGATTAGAAGAGATTGGTATATAGTATCAAAGTCCGCCTTTTGTACCAAAATTTTTTTAAAATGTAGTCTATAAGGAATAAATAAATAGTTTATTTCTTTTGTGCTAAATTCTCAATTTAAAAAAGTAACAAAATTGTAATGATTAAAATAGCTGCAGAATGTTTTACTTCGCGGAGGATACGCAACGGAAAATCCAGTTAACGTGGCACTAGTTTAGAAGACGTTCAGGGAAAATTGTCAGTTTTTGAATTACTATATAGGTCATTTTTATCTCTCTTTTGTGTAAGCAGAAACGATAGATAGAATGCCAAATACTTTGATTCAAACAACTCTCTTTCACGTTCTTCTCATTCGTTAATATATTCGTACAGATTCGCTAGTTACAAACGTTTGTAATTGGCTCTTTTTTAACATGTTACCTATTTGATCGTATGGTCAGCATGAAAAGTCAATGAACGCATTAAAGTTTTTAATACCGCTCCGTTAGCATATGGGTCATTGCCAAATTTTGCGCAGGTAACTGCCACTAAAAATGTTCAACTTTTAAAAAACCAAAAATTCTTAAACATGACTTTTCTTTTTGTTCATGCTTACTAAAACAACTAAATTTTTAACTATTACAGCCGGCCGCGATGTTTAACTGATGATTTTTTATTTATCCCGTATTTTGTAGGTGAGGGTCTAAAAATAAAACAACTCTGTTATAATAACGTTTTAATTTATATTATGAAACTAAATAATTTAGTACCAAATTTTTTGGCATCAATGTTAATTAAAGTCTTTTATCTTATAATCACATTTAGAATCACATTTGTTTTTTAAGTTTAACAATTATTAATTTTAATTCTAAACAACTCTGTTACTTTTTGAATTTTGACGCATATTAAATTCTACCGAAATACTCTAAATATTTATTTATTAACTGATAACTATAAAATATGACTGTATAAATATCTAACATATTATGTATTATTATATTACCATATTATAATCATTAGCTTTTCATAAACATCTTTGGTATGTCTTTCAATCTTTGGGACAGAAAAGTAACAGAGTTGGACGGCAGTAACATAGTTGTTCTTTTTTTGTATCTTACTTGACTAAATTTCACTTGGTTGAGCTTGAGAGTTGAAAACATAAACATAAACTTCAATATTAGTGACAATAAACGTCATGACTGGTCTATAATAAACAATATAAGAACAAAAATCTTATATTCTTGAAAAAGTAAGTTGAAAGTGAAAATTATTTTTCAAATATCTCTAAAGCAGTATCAAATTGGAAATATATTCTTTTACCTTTACGGACTTTTTTAGGTTCTGGAACAATAGCAAGTATATTATCAAAAGATACATAAGATAAATCAGATTTAACTAATTTAAATTTTGTAGCCGTATGATCGATTGACTTGAAAAACATAATTTTGACCTCACCATCGTCTTCTATTTCAGATAAGGCCTTACCTAAATATACATAGTCCTGTTTTAAACTGGAAATTTTTACCAAGACACAAATACCTTCTTTTATTTTTTTAACATGAATATTTTCCTTCTCAATCAAAGCATCGTCATTTTGCTTTGATGTGCTAGGTTCTTCTGACAAATAAGTGCTGGAAGATTTTTCTTTTATTGATATCAGAGGGGCATCATCATCGGAATCTGAGCTGTAAACAATGCTGTAAAACCCTTTTGCTCGCTTTTGACAAAGGTTGCTTATATTGGACAGAGAATTCTTGTTGCAAGTAGTAGGAGTTGATTTTTCTACTGCAGTTTTTATTGGAACGTAGTGCTTGGGATTCATGCAAGAGCAAAAGCCGCGCTGACAAAAACAACTCAAATATCTATACTTTAGAACTCCAGCTTCCTCAGTAAAAACTTGATGGACTTTCATGGTACCTAATAATGGCACGATACACTCTGGGATCTGCGATGAACTCAGTTCAATTTCCTCATTAGTTATTAGAAATAGTCTTACTTTACTTACATCTTTCAAAGCACGATAGAAATTTGTAGCATCAGATATGTCAGTTCCACGTGCAACAAGTTGATCAGCAGTACGCTTTAAAAAACCGCCAATCCCATCTGCGGCACCCTTGCCATGTCCTGCTTCAAAAAAATTCCAAGTAACTTTAGTAAACTTGTACTTAGAGAATAACTTTGTGCATATCAAATAAAAGTTTTGTTTCTGTCGATATTGAGTGGCTGGGCCGTCTGAAAATACATGCAGGATATTTACTTCCGGAAATTTGTCATGAATTGAAGCAAAGATTGGATGGAGGTGAGCCCAAATTGCGGCAGGGTTGTGTGAAAGGTTTTCAGACACGGTACAAAACGATGATACCTCTAGCTTGTTATCTGAACCACGACTATAGATCACTCCAGTATGCATGGATACTTGATTTCGGGACCCGCCAAAATGATAAGATTGTATTTCTTCAGAACATTTACAGTTATAATTTTCACTGAAATCAATATGCAGCGCAATTTCATTTATAGCCAAGTCATCTATGCATTTTCTATAATTTTTGTACTGTGTCTTAATGTAATATACATGCCTTTTAAACTCCTTTAGTGTAATTTTAAACTTATCTATCAAAGCTTTTCCAGTACTCTTTATCTCTTCTTTGATACTTTTTGTAACTTTGATTTTCTTTCCTGACTTCTCTATCACTTCAGTTTTAGTTAACCATTGAGGATATTTTACTATTATTTCTTCTTTTGATGTATCATAAATAATTTCTGTTAATTGACATACAGAACAGATTCCGGTCATACATACTAGTGAATCTGGATCACATACTTGGTTTACAATAATCTTGTTAATGTCTGAGGTTCCAATAACTTTGTTTTTACACAAAGCAATTGCCAAGTATTGAATATTAATATGAATTCGACACAAACATGTTTCTCTTGCAGCAACAGTCGAAAACAAAACATAAAATGGTCTATATCGGGTAAAAGTTCTGTAACTACATGTCATAGTAGGGTTTTCGCGTTTAAAAGAAAGGTAAAGATTTTTCATATTATCTAGTAGGTAGCGCTTTTGCATTTTATTTTTCTTTAAAGAAATGGTTTCTTTTTTTCCAGCAGTCGCTCTTGATACGTCATCACGTTCAAAAAATTCCTTAATTTTTTCACTGAAAAGCTTTTTCTTACGCAGACGCTGTTTTTTCCGTATGTAGCCTTGGTTCACACCAAGACATTCTTGGATGATTTGCACTTTTTGCCTAGAACATTTAACAGCCTCATCTTCAAATATTTTATGAATTGCCCATTTCTCTTTCCGACTTTTTATATTCTCATATCGTTTTTTAATAGCATTTGATAAAATCTCATATTTCTGTTGATGCTCTTGATTATCATCTTCAATTTCAGATTTCTTATGTTTTGCCCTATTGTACCTTTTTCTATATTTTTCGCACCTCTTTTTCATTACTTCTAACTGTTGCTTTAATTTTATGTTATCTCTAAATAACTTCGATCTGTTCCTTTTTACGCGCTTTCTGCCACGAGAAGCTGCTGATATAGTAGAGCTAATAGTTTTTTCACAAGAAGTAGACAGCTGAGGTGTCGATAAACAATGATCAGCATTTGGAGTAATTTGGTTTTGCCCTGGAGGGGCCGGTCTATTAAAACAAGGAGGTGATGACTCTGGGATTTGCATGACAATACGAAGAGCTCTAGCCTTATCTCTCCGTTTAGAATTTGCAGATCGCCATTTTTTTTTTATTGCTCGATGTTCACGTGTTGTTAAGTCTTGTACTAAGCGTTTATTAGCATGGTATCTCTCTCGATCTTTTCTTTTAGATTCTGCTTCCTTTTCAGGATTATTTTTACGCCGTTCTCGGTACTGTCGCTGCTTTTCAGCAGGCGTAAGTGGCATCTTGAAATCACAGGTAACACGCAGTATCTTGTAACAATATATTTAAGTTTATTAAAATACATACGTTTTACCAAGTTTATAAATAATTTAAAAACACCCGATTATTAAACATATATAGTTTGAAATATAAAATATAAGTATAAAGTTAAAGAATATAGGCATATTCAACTCTGTTACTTTCTTAACAACTCTGTAACCACGCGCTGGTAACAAAGTTGCTTAGTAACAGAGTAGTAAATATAACATGCCACAAGACATAAGTCAAATAGTAAAGCGTAAAGTACACTTTTTTTTTCATATTTATAATATTTACCTTATTAACAACATACTAAATGTAAAATAATAAAAAATAAGTTGGTTTACTTACGTAAATAGGTAGGTAACAAAGTAGACGCACATTAAAAACACGTAGCCTATTCAACGCCTGGCGATCCACTGACACCCCCTGTACACCTCCCTCCGATTTAACGGTGAACCACGATTACTCCAGACATACTGATGAATGTAGTACAAAGTGTGAGCAACGCCATCTCTATTTTATGTTGCGATTTAATCAGTAACATAGTAGTCCACACAGTTTCACACAATATGCGGGACATAGTTTCAAAAAAAAGTTATTAATTACATTTTGATAATTACCGGTTTTAAGACATACTTTATTAATATTAACAATACTCTGTTTATGGTAATAATTTATTTAGTGTAGGTTGATATAGTAGAAAAATAAATTATTTGATTTTTATTACAACGGAATACTACTTGGGACACAAAGGGAAAACCATTCTGTTACCAGGATGACCATAATGTTACTTAAAAAAAAATACTAAATACTTTATAATTTGTATTTATTTTTAATCAATATTTGTAAATACGATATATTTTGTATTTAATGTAAAATTTGTTAGAGATTACGTGATTATTACTAGTAAAAATAATAATACAGTCGAGGGACAAGTTTACCTGCGCAAAATTTGACAATGACCCATATATGTAACATGTTTCAATTCTGACGTCACCTTGTCGAGCTTACAACCCAGTGTTTCATCATCATCATCATACAAGCTCTTAACCCTCCACTGTCGAACATAAGCCTCCCCCTTGGGGGGGCTTTGCCAGTAGTTGCCACGCTTGGCAGGCAGGCTTTAGAGATGTTTTAAGAGGGACACTGCTGCCCATCCCTTCCCGTCCCTTAGTCGACTTTTATGACAACCACGGGAAAGAAAGGGGTGGCCTATTCTATATCGGGGGGGTCACACGGCTATTGTTTAGGATTTTGACATAATAAACATTCATCGACTTTTTATGCTGACCGTAAGTCCACCACTTTATTCATATAATTTATTTGCTGAATATGAATATAGGTGATATATAGATTTTATGTAAATTTATAATATCGTATTCTTGTCGTTTATTCTGCATCTTATCTAAATGTATGTAAGTGATATGTAAATATATTGGGAACGGAGCGATTTTTTCTGAGACGTCATCTATGAATTAACGCCTATATCCTACGCTAGCTTTGCTTTTATTATTTAGCTATTAGAAAACTAACACGCGTGGACTAAACGGATTTAAAGAGTACGCTTCTTAGCTTGTTTCTATGCAATTTTTACGAAACGTCATACTTATATAAATATTATTTATAGAGGAGATTGTTATGGAGATTTTTTTAATGTTACATCGAAGTATTTTTAATCTGTTTAACTATTTCCAAAACATGATATTTTTTACTATAGCTGTATTTACCATACACAAATAATGTCTTTCTATGACATCAACAAGTATGAAATACGTATGAAAATATATATATTAGTATATAATATTAATATATATTAAACTAGAAATAGCAAACTACAGTGCATTTAAACGCATAAGACAGGTCGTCAGTATATTTAATGAAATATGTGTTTTGTCTCACAGAGAACACGGGTCCTTGTGAGTATATAAAGTAGATTCATTCACTTGATATTTTTTTCTCATTAATTCTTATAAATAATTTACATTACATTTGCTTGTTAAAACTAAATTTAATACTCGATTCCAAGTAAATTACCCACCTTTTTATACAAACAGTAGTTCAATCATCTTTTCCATCGGATTTCTTTCATTCTAGACCTTTTCTCGTGTCAAATGTTAGATTTTTTTTTTTTTTTGTTATATAACTGGTTTATGTGTATTTTACTACGTTGGTTTTTTAATTAAATACTAACATTAAATTAACTCATTAATACGCCACTATTATATATATTATATATTTGTTTGAATTTATTTTTTAAATCTTGATCCTGTGTTTGAAATATAAGAAAAAAATTATTAAAAAATATATATATATATAAATGCGACTCCTATGTCATGTTACGGGTTTGTTTTGTAAAACAGATTGGGAAATTTATTGGATCTAGTTGTCGAAATGTAATATTTTTGTTACACAATCGACAAATGGGATTAGACTAAAAATACTGTAAATCTGTTTATCAATTCAACTCTTTAGGAACTTTTTATTAAATTTCTGTGTGTAGCCTACAAAACCACAAATTTGCGAGTAAAAGTTTAACCCATATGACTTCTTCCTATTATTATAAAAACCTTTAAGCAATCTTTTGACTTCTAGAATAATAACTCTCGTTAATAAATATTAATATTTTTAAACCAATTTTTTCGTAGAATATAGAATCTCATATATCTCTTATTTACGATCATCGAGATTATTGCAAAGATAGACGTCTTATCTGACAGCACAGCGCTCAATGTCGCAACCCGATAACACGTCATGTGTGTCGGAACAAGGTCAGTTCCACAACAGATACAGTCTACTAATTCATTGTGAGACGTTAAAAAGTGTGTTTCTCACATATGTATATTATTAGTTGTGATACTAATCTACCTTCATGCTAAATCTCTTTTTAGATAGGCATAGAGAATGGGTAGTTCAATTTCATATCCTCTTTTAAATCTTTATTTATTACTCTATTGAGAGGTAGATAAATGAATAACCTTTAATAAATAGTAAATTACATAATAATCTGTGGGTTGTTATTATCCAAAAATCGCTAAATTAAACGAAATAACTCTATTGTCGTTTCATGTTAATTTTAAACTATGTCGTTATGTACTTACTAGTTTATATTTCTTAAATCCCATCATGTGTGTGTGTGTGTGAGTGTGAGTGTGAGTGTGAGTGTGAGTGTGAGTGTGAGTGTGAGTGTGTGTGTGTGTGAGTGTGAGTGTGTGTGTGTGTGTGTGTGTGTGTGTGTGTGTGTGTGTGTGTGTGTGTGTGTGTGTGTGTGTGTGTGTGTGTGTGTGTGTGTGTGTGTGTGTGTGTGTGTGTATATATATTCCCCAATTTGTTTTTTCTCCTCATTCTCATACCATTGACAAGATCACGTCAATATTATGGGTGATTCTCATTATATGAATTTATTTATTTATACTTTATTGCACCAAGTAAAATTAATTTAATAATAAATTTAATTGAATTTCAAAGAATATATACTCATAGTTTTTTTTTTTTTTTTTGGGTTAATAATAAGGCTATTTAGTGCTTTTATTTATTCTAACAATATGTTATATGTTTTATTTAACTTTTTATTATTAAAGATTTAAGAATTATGTAGTTACATATTTTTTATTAATATACTTCTATACTATTATGATCTTTCATCCAATTTTAAGATTACGATTAAAAAAATAATTATAGATTGTATCCCACACAAAAAAAAAAAAAAAACTAGCTCCAATCGTGACAAAAGTAGTTATTTTGATTTAAAAACTATATTACTGTACCGATTCTGATAAAATTTATAATGCAACCACTCTGTAAGTATATCTCTTCAGATAACCGACGGTGTTATGAGGTAATAAACATAAAAAAATACAGCCGAATTGGGAACCTCCTTTTGAAGTAGGTTGAAAAGCTTAAACGTAAAACAAAAGATTGGTGTAAAAAATAGTAATTCTGTGACTAAATAATGATTCATACTCGTAAAATTCAAATGCAATACAGAATGTCAGAACTACGTTAGATAAGATTAACAGAATAATCCTGCCTGTTTGACTCACTCGCTCACTCGCGTTAGAATAATTATAGATTTGAGTGTTTTGTGTACACGACATGAGACGTCTGTGACATGTTCTTCAAGAAGTGCAGGAGAAAACGTAAAAAAACAAGTAAATATGGTTTGTTTAATTTTTTTTTTAATTTTTTTTTCCTAATCGAGATCGTGAACTAAATGTGAATTTGTTATCTTTTGTCATCGTAATATCACCGTCATGTTGACATCTTGATTACTATGCAATATTTCGTGTGTGATGACTAATATTGTATGTACAAACTATTTTTAGTAACGGATTTTGTATTACTATACTAACGTTTGTTTACAATATGTTTTTTCAAGTTAAAAATTGTATAAAAATATTTAAACTTGTATATATCGTTATTATTTATATTTTTTTTACAATATATAACTAACATTTGAAAGACATTTATTCTATCTTATAATTAAGATTAAGGTCGACGAGGTCGCCCATTGTTTTCACACTGTGATTATTTCTTGTAATTGTTTATGTCTATAATAAGTTTACTATTGTAATATTTTAGAGGAAACTATAAAGTGTATCTAATTATTACTTATTTAGATATTTAATAAAATATTTATTTTTGTTCAAATCTAATACAAATATAATTCTTTTTTTTTTTACAAAATTCCTTAAATACTAATAACAATTAAAAGTAATGTACCCAAGATACTACCTCTTTGGATTGCCAAACTTATCTTTTGGGCAAAGTAGCTACCAGCTCTTGGGTCACCAGTAACCTCGATGAGGCGCGCTGCGATCGTCCGATAATCGTCGTCCTTATTTATATATTAATAACGATAAAATAATAATAAAGTATGTATTATAATATTAATATTATTATTCCCAAAGAGGTTGACGTCAGACAGAATGCCGGTCGTAAAACTATAAGCCAAATATTTTTATAATATGGTTATGAAACATATTACGCCGATCCCAAATAATAATTAGGATAAGGGTAAGATGATGATGAATAAAGAGTATCTAATAATTATATATATATATATATATATATATATATATATATATATATATATATATATATATATATATATATATATATATATATATATATATATATATATATATATATATATATATATATATATATATATATATATATATATATATATATATATATATATATATATATATATATATATATCCTCCTTATCGATTTTTTTTTCAATAGCCCTTTTATTAGGAAATAATTATTGTACATACATATTTCTAATTAAATAGTATTTTATCTGTTATCTATATAGTCTATTAACACGCTGTTATTGTTAGTACCCAAGTTGTGTACAAAGCTCAATACGTTTGCCATTACGCTAAGCTTCAATTTCCCATAATTATGCAAAATGTTTTTGACTCGCATTTGTGTCAAATGTGTGCTTATCATGGCGTCTCCTTCTTGCACGCTAGCCCCACAACACGCGGAGCTGAGAGGTAAATAAAAGCTGGTTTATTTACTTTAATATTCTAGCTTGAATATTATTTCAAAATCCTATTTTATATGTTACAGCCGAAATTCCCGATTTATCGCTTTTGACGAGTTAAAGAGTAGCTTTTTTTTTAATGCTATTAACGATAATTGTAATCAATTAAAAGTTTTGATTGTAACATATTTTATGGAAATGAAATTGTTTAACTAATAATCTAAAATTATTTCAACATTTCTAACCTTAATCCTTTTATATTAATTTATATTCTAGTTTATTTAATAAATCTAATGGGTTTTATTATTTTCTATCATCAAAGTATCATAGAAATCTTGTATATGTATGTACACAGTCTAAATACTAATAGTAATGTCTCGCTTATGCACTATTTAATTTCAATAAACTCTTTTAGAATATTTTTATTGTAATTTTCTGTTGAGAAACGAAAATTTGTAATTAAAGTTTCGGCTTAAACTTCATTTTATATATAGATAACTATGTTAAAGAACTAATAATTGATTTGAAAATTTTATTATATACACAGCGTTTTTATACAAGTCGAAAATGGTGCTGTTTCTTTCTTATTCTTCAATCTCAAATACAGCATACAAGCAGGTTGCTTGAAGCCGCATTTACTTGATGAGACAGAGAGTAAAGATCCCATCCATCCATCATATAAGCCGTTAACTGTCCACTGCTGAACATAAGCCTCCCCTTGGGGGGTTTTTGCCAGTAGTTGCCTCGCTTGTCAGATGGGTTGCTAACCGCATTTAGGCTTTGCTGATGTTTTAGGAGGGACGCTGCTGTCCATCTCTCGACTACATTCTCTTAGAAGTCTTTTATGATAGGCATAGGAAAAGAAAGGTTGGCTCCTTCTATGCTGGGACCACACCGTTTATTTCGTATAAACCCAACAAATCTATCCGCGTATTGAGTGTATCTACAATGTGGCAGCGAACGCGTCGTCTGAAGGGTCCCGAGCGTCTGAGGGCGGGGAGGCGGCGCCCCGAGGGTCCACGCTGCCGCGAGCCGCCACCTCACCAGCACCCAAGTTTTCACCAGATGCTTCCCCCAGTTCCTCGGTCACAAGTGAAGGCGCGCCGTAAGTATAACGCTAGTGTAATCAGACTTCGGTATGAACTTTCTTAAGTAATATTAACGAAAAATAGGGTAAAAGAATTTTCTTTTACCACAGTGGTGGTAAACAAGCATACAGCCCGTCTGATGGTAAATAATCACTCAGATCAGATCTGTATACTTGTTTGCCACCATCGTGGTATAAAAAATATATTGAACGAAATGGCATCATTTGTACTATTTAAAAGGTGCATATAATGTTACATATAACGTTCCCGTTACAGTTATCCGACGCAAGCTGGCTCAAACAACATGTCAGAGGCGGTGTTCAGTATCAAGCCGATCTTAAATGAGCTGCGCGAGCGCAAGGAGGATTACGAGAGGCTCGTTGAGAAAATAGATGCGCTCAAGGTACAAAAGTTTATTAACATCATGTCATCGTAAATCATACCCATTCATTCATTTCCATTCATTCGTACCCTTTCCCATTTTTTTATAATTTTTCACACAATCTATCCACTTGTTTTCCTATTTCCTACGTGGATATCACTTTGATACCCAATAAAAAATGTAATTAAATATACCATAGAATGGTTTTTTACTTTGAAAATACACTCAATTATTAATGATTTTACCTGCATTTCCGCCTTCAAGCATTATAATTGTTGGCAATAAATTATAACATATCTTGTTTATTGCCTGAATACCTAAATGTGACAGAAAGTGACCTTTGACTACCCCTCATCTAATGGAATCTGTTATTTATTTATTTAGATTTTTTTTATACTACTTAGAATGGCAAACAAGCTGACGGCCCACCTGATGGAAAGTGGTAACCGTCGCCTATAGACATGAGCAGTACTATGGACATAACAGAGTATACTGTTTCGCCCATGATACCCCCCATGTGTTGCCATTCCTGAGGACTCAGGTGTTATTCCTCTGTACCCAGTAAATTTACGCCATATCCTATCCTTCAAACCGAAACACAGCCATGTAAACACACAACAGAATATCAGTGTATTGCACTTTTAAGGGCAAAGCAATAAACTGAGTTGTGACCATTTTGTGTTACTATGGCACACGCATGAAGGAAAGGAAAGAAAGGAAATTGTTAGTTTATATATTTTGTTTTTTTTTTGTTTTGTGCTTTTTTATTTTCATTCTTTTATCTCTTTTACTCTGTATTATGTGTATGTTTTTTTTATTGTAATTTGTGTGCTGTAAGTAATGTAAATAAATTATCTATTTCAGAATTTGTCTCAAGAGGTGTCCTTCCTATCCGGCGCGCTGCAAGAAGAACGTTTCAAGACGGAGCGGCTCGAGGAACAAATCAATGATCTCACGGAATTACACCAGAATGAGGTACATTGTATGACGTCACTAGCTAACCTTTTGTAATCAAGTAACAAAGAAATTCCCTTTATTATTTATTTGATTTTTTTTTATATTTTAATAGTATTACAGACGGCATGACAGTGGCAAACAAGCATATCGTCCTTCTGATGGTAAGCGGTTACCGTAGTTTATGAATGCTGGCAATACCAGAAACAATAAAGTGCACGTTGCCGATCCTGCAAAAATTTAATTAACTGTTATGTACCAATATAATGTTTTCTTTATTTAAAAGGGTATTCAATATAATCCTATGTTAATTTAATAAAATTGCAACATTATGTTTATTATTACTATATATTATTACAGGTGGAAAACCTAAAACAAGCACTGACAGATGTGGAGGAAAAAGTACAATATCAGAGTGAAGAGCGAATACGAGATATACACGAAGCTTTAGATCTCTGTCAGACCAAAGTGAGTTTTGTATGATCATATATATTGAGGAACCATAGGTCTAATGGAGTGTTCTAAAATATAATGGTTGATTTTCCAAAACGTTTTACGTTTACGTTTTTTAGATGATAAATATTTTAGATGTAAAAAATAAAAGATAAATTACCATATCCATGGCAGTGAATTTACAGGGTACAGAGGAGTAACACCTGAGTCCTCAGGAATGGCAACGCATGGGGAGTATCATGGGCGAAACAGTATACTCTGTTAGGTCCATGGTATTGCTCATGTCTATAGACAACGATTATCACTTTTCATCAGGTGGGCCAACTTGTTTGCCATTCTAAGTTGCATAAAAAAAGGTAACAGGTACAGACGACTTACAGAAATGTATGTTATGTTCAGATCAGCAAACTGGAACAGTGGATGGCGGGCGGGGGCGGCGGCGGCGGCGGCGGCGGCGGCGCGGGCGAGGCGGGCGGCGCGGCCGCGCTGCCGCCGCGCCTGCTGCTCGTCAAGCTCATCAACGTGGCGCTCACGCTGCTGCAGCTCGCGCTGCTGCTCGTCGCCACCGTCGCCGGCGTCGCCATGCCCTTCATGCGCACCAGGTACCGTGCACACCGCCACCACGCCACACCCGACAAACGGAACAACTGCTACCTTCTACACTCTTCACCTCATAGAAAGATTTTTTTTGCATGGTAATGGAATTGCAACCCCGCCTGTGCTATCGATATATGCTGGCGGAGCTCTTTGATAGGTGAAGATGAATTCAGGCCAGTTAGCTCATCGTGATTAATTTCACAAGAATTATCATATATCGTCATAGTCATAGAATACTGACGGATCTGACGAAGATTACATATAAAGATCCGTCAGTATTCTACGACTATGACGATATTAGAATTATGGTATATTGGTAGCAATCGGGCTTTTAGCTCCTATTACTAACAATCCGATTTCCCTATGGAATGGTGTAGGTGATAGTCTGCGAATTATAATAGAACCCTTGTCATTTCAAAGTGGATGCTAGGTCATCCGTTACATACTCAGTGACGCGGAAGAAGTCCATATCCTATCGGATGCCGACTAGTTTTGAAGATACAGAGTAGAGTACACTATACCTTTGACGTCACTAAGTATATGATGAGATACACCTTCGAGGATATGGAGTAAATAGTAGGCTGTGAATGACGCCTACTACGATTTCTTTTTGCCATGTGACGTGATGGAGTAATCAATTAATATAAAGAAAAATATTCTCGTACCAATAAACTACTTATGGAATTAATTTTGTTATATTACATACATACATATCTGTCACGCGTGTCTCCCATTTGGGTAGGCAAAAACAATGGAACGCCAAATGCTTCGAATCAAACAAATCTCTTTCGCTTCTTCCACATTCATCAATCTTTTCATACATGCTCGCCGGTTACGGGTACTTTTAATTTGGCCCTTCTTCAGCACGTCGCCTATTTGGTCGACATACGTCCGTCTAGAGCGGCCTCTACCGACATCTCCATTCATTCTTGCTCCATAAATTTTGTTATATTTTTTCGGTAAAATTCGGGTCTAAATTAAAATATATGTTGCTCCTCAAATACAATTGCAAATACTTATAAGTATTAGCAAAAATAGCACGTGTTAGAAAAAATTAATAATTTACATATCACTTAATAATATACTTATTTTTTGTTTTTCGTTTTTGTAACACAGTGTAACTTTACCAGGGTGCGCGTAATAACAACGAGCCTGGCGGTTATGGTGGGTGTTATGGTGCTGAAGCAGTGGCCCGAGGTGACGCAGTTGTCCGAACACCTGGTGCGGAGGCTCAAAGAGTATTTGCTGGACAAACATCACGACAGGTAATGTGGGCCCCGTACTACAGCGCACGCTGCACACTGCCGCCACGAAACTGTCCTTGTTCATGACGTTACTGTCCTTCTTGAATGTCCAAAAATGGTAGAATTTATTTCATGATTTTTTTTTAAGTAATTAATTTCACAGTATGATTTCTCGCGTCTTGAGAGCGTTCACTATAAAATTACTTGTTTATAAAATTGTGCTAACGTCGCAATTATCTGTCAATTTAAATGTGATCATGAGGATTTTTCGCAATTAGGTACTGTACTGTATGAAGCAGGTATGTAGAATACCTGCTTTTTTATTGCCGACATTTCGACGTGAATTGCAGTCTGACTGAAGTAAGCGATGTCTTTGACATCGTGATACAATCCACGTCGAAACGTCGGGAAGTCCTGATAGTGTATTTAAAATATGCGTAAACAACGCAAAAGTTTAAAAATAACAATTTAACATTTCAATAGTTCTGATTGTTTATTTGAAAAAGTATGTCGAACTTCATATATTGCTTCGGATTTTTTTAAATACTAGATACTGTTTTTCCATAAAAATCAAAATTTCAGTGACAGTTAAGAGTTTTAAAATTTACGACAATTGCGACGTTGCTTCGGTAAAATGTAGTATGAATGCTCTTAACATGAATTATTTAATACTAAATAAAGCATTTACCATACTTATACTTGATGTTTTGACTAAGTGGTGTATCAGATTAGGCAACTACAAACGGTGTTAACAAAAGCCACTGAAGCCTTTTTACGTCGTACGGTTCGCCATCCACAGGGAGTTCACCCCCATACCCTACAGCCTAAATGGTTGCGTACAACGCGGTTTCAGAGATGTTTCCTCCCACGAACACTCAGGTTATGGAATGAGCTCCCTGCCGAGGTTTTCCCAAGAGACTACAGCAGGAGGATTCTTCAAAAGGGGGGAAAAGAGGTTTCTTCAGGGTTGACAACGCGCGCGTAAATACCTCTGGTATTTACGCGCACACAGGCATTCATAGGCTACGGTAACCGCTTACCATCAGGTGGGCTGCATGCTTGTTTGCCACCTCAGTGGTATAAAGAAAACCATTCACCATTCAAATTTTTTCTTTTTTTAAATAAGAACACCACGCTATATTGTGATTAAAATTTTAAAGTTTTTATTAATATGTTTAGTATTTTATACCAGAGCTGTCCAAAGAGCGGCCCACGGTGTTTTCTTGATCTCCCACAAATACTTTGGAAGAGCATTATTCAGTATTATTAATCTTTCTTCAAAAAAAGTTTTTTTCCGCGGCCTTCCAATTTATTTTGTGATTTGTATTGGCCCTACATTGTTTCTAGTTTGGATAGCCCTATTATATATCATTGTTAGTTTATCTCTTACACAAGTACGTACAAGTACTTTGAGCAACATTTCTGTACATGACACTATTTTCTATCACAAGAGGTTGCCATTAGTAATATTACAAATAAACCCCATTGATTTCTGACTCTACCATAATATAGTTTTGTTAATGCATTGGTAATTTATTTATACAACCAAGGACGGTTTCGTTGTGTTGTGTGGTTGGCGTAGTTCGTTTTAGGTGCCGGTCCAGAATAGGGGGTTAAAGGTTCGACTAAAATGTAGGTTAGAACTGATAGTTTCAATTAAATTAATGTTGAAACGCTCGGTGCTGTGTTCAGATGTGAATGAATTAATAAATGACCAAATTACGCAGTCTATTTTTAGGGCTTTGTTTTATTTTTTTATTACTATATTTATTTTTATTTGTTTTTTTTATGGAATTTAGTAGTTTAAATAAAAACAAATAAAAGTAATAATGGACTATATATAATAACCCCCCTTATGGGGGAAGCCTATATTCAGCAGTGGTCGGTGAACGATATGTAATAATAATAATATTTTTATATATTATTATTTCGATAAATATATATTGCATGTCTTTTTCGTTTTCATTCGGTTTCTTTAAGTTCCTGTCGTCCTAAATTTCTATAAATCAAATATTATATAAACAGAATTAATTTGCTAACAAATAAAAAATTTATTTAATGTTATATAAACATATTGGATACTGACCACCCACTATTTTGCCAAATAATGAATTCCATCAAGTTCTGTCCATAGTATCGAGCGTTTTAATATATAGCTATTAATCAATTAGTTCGTACCTACTAATTAAATTATTTTTATGTTATGTATTCCGTAATATAATATATTGTGACAGTCGCTTGGTTATGTATAATAATGTATATGTATGTATAGTAAATAAATCATATCACAGATATAGTATATATAATGAATGATAACTAATTTTGTATAAATTCCATGATCATTAACAACATTTGTATATTTATTATATATTTACACAAGACTAATTTCTGGACGTAATTGCAATAAATATATCTTTGTTTTGTATTTATTTATTTATTTGTATTTTTTTTTATTTATTTTTTTATATTTTTTTTCAATTTTTATTTCTTTTTTTTTTAATTATTTTTCTTTTACTTCAGGTATGAATGCAGGTCGTTATGTGGTTGATTTTGTAAACCGTCGTTTCTAGGAAAGGAAATTTCGTGATATTGCAATTCTGTCCTTGGATTCTCCAAACGATAACTCATAATGCGGTGATGTGGATAAGTTGTAATAATATTAAGTATAATATGTTCTGTAGTACAGATGGGGACCGCAAGCAGCAAGTTATACGTTCCTATTTGATAAAATTATTATATACATGTGATAATTACTCATTATGAATTAGTTAAATATTTTGGAATTCTGAATATGAATAAGTTTAAATTTATATAATGGTGCTAACAGACAGACTTCGTCATCTTTAAACGGATCCCTACATTTGTGGCTGTTCGAGAATAGTACGGTAGTCTCGCCAGCACTATCTGTACAGTACACGCTGGCGAGGATAATGTCAGGTCGAAAACATTGGGATGTTTGATTAACCAGGATGTTTTCCACGTGGAGCTTGACCTCTTGCTGACAATCCATTCTTGATATCTAGCTGTTTCAGCTTGATATCAGTATATAAAGCATCTTATTAATTAAAATATAACCTACCCTTGTATCGAATTTCATTCAGATCCGTTCAGCTGTTTAAGCGTGATTAAAAAAAAACATACAGTCAAGTATGGTGAAGTAATTAAAAAAAAAGTATATTGTACTATCATTCTTTATTATCCTTAAGAAGTCGCGAGTAGCTTAGCTCAACAGCATGACCAAGTGATAAAGGCATTAGTTTCTATCTGTTAGCGTCATTTAATTATAAAAAAAAACCATGTTATTAATAATATCTGAGAGAGTGTAAACGTATGTTTGTTTCACTCAGATAATGTGCAAGTCTACGGAGTCCGTAGATAGAATGTTTTAGGCTAAAATTTAATATTCTCCACGGTATATTATGTATATCGTGACTAAATTGCCGCTTGTTGATCCACACTGAGTGAGTGGTCCTCGATTAAGTACAGTCACACTTAATTGTTATTGAATAAATATATAATATAAAACTTGTGCACTATTTACATAGTGCACTATGTAACATCAAATAAATTAATATATATACCGCAAATTAAATAGCAGCCCATGAGGGGGTCACACAGTGTATTTTGTAATAATTATGATTCAGTTCATGTCTGCAGGCGATATTTACCACATTCCATTAGGTGGGCTATCAACTTGTTTGTCATTACTAAGACTTATAAAAAAATATTTTAAAGTGTCAGTAATTGTTTTTTTTTTTTTATATATATTTTCATTTATATATTGATTTAAACATTGAGATCATGTAAGGCAATAGCGAAGCTATATTTCTAGTTTTTTTTTTTTATTCTGTGATTTTGTATATATTTTTTGCATTATTGCATTCAGAAATTACTGTCTTTAAAATGAAGATATCATTTGCTCAATAAAAACAAAAGAAAATGAAATAAATACAAAATCTTTATGTGAGGAAAGTTAAAGATCATAGGGATATTTATTTGATGTTTTAGATTAGAAAAAAAAAACAGCTCTAAGAACATGTTTCCTCTAAACTTGCTTGCTACTAACAGTCCTTATAAATTTACTGTAACCATGGGCTATCATTAAAAAAAATTCATCTCAATTCTGACGGTGACTGTACTCAATTGAATTAAACGAAATAAAACATTTTTGTATTATTTATAGGAACAAATTTATATTTATAAGGGGCTGGACCCTTAACTTGATTTAATACCATGTTTATGTATAATGCGAGGTACAAATTACATAGTCAACACGATTGTTGATTGATTTTTTATAATTTTCACAGAATTATTGTAATAATTTTACCATTGTAATCGATTTTAATTCAATTTGACTGTACTATTAATAAGAAGACGTGTTTGTACTAAGGCGTTAGAATTCTCGACTGACTCTTGGAAATGGTATATTTATTGATTATAGACAAGTTTCACAGTGATGTCAACGCAATAAAATATCATCGAATAAAATTTGTAATCTCCTAAATCCATTTTAAATGAAACACGATTTTGTGACTATGCCTAATAATAAAAAAGTCACCATTTGATTTTCGTTTTAAACGGAGTTACGAGATTATTAAATTTAGCCGACGATATGTATTACTTGTGAAATCAAATATGAAATGTGATACGCCACTGCCCATACATCCAAATCGTAGAGCGAGCAGTTTTTGTCCCGTCTAATTCCACCACATTGTTGTTATTTTTTAATTATTAATAATAATTAATAATTTAATTGTGTGTGTTCGTTTTAGATAATAAAGAATTCAATAGAATTTTGTTTAATATCTTATAATCTACAAATGAGATGATTATTGAAAATTAATATATATTGATTCAGTTGTTTTTTTTTTTGCACACTGTATAAACCAGCGGTAGTGACGTCACTGAGCTCAGATTGACTGTGGACGTATTGATTGCTATGGGCTGTAACGACGTACAACGTTATAACGTTGTAACTCGACTAATTAAATTATATCACTGATTTAATTAGTCGATGAAATACCCTAAATCTAAATCTATCGCAATTTTTTTTTATTAATATTTTAAGGACAGTATTATGTTACACATAACTAAGAAGTAAATTTCATTTCTGACTCAAACCTATTATACTATTATATTATTTACTTAAAATAATTATTTCACTCCAATGTCAAATTGATATTTTATTTTAGAAATAGAAAATGGCGATTTAATGTAGGCCGCAATGTCCTTTCAATAATAAAATTTCAGATATATACGTTTTATGAATAAGTGTTTCTAAGGACTATGTAATTATAACAAATTGAACAACTGTACCTCGATTTGAAGTCTGAATTAGTTGAAAAAAAAGTATCCGGAATTTGAAGTCTCGAATGCAAATGGTGGGATTCAGTGATCATTATTTTTAATAGTAGGTGATGGATATATTTTTTAAAATGTTTCCCATTTCTTTTTGATGTACATATTTATACGATTTATGTATTAAATGCTCAGATATAGATGGCGCTGGTGTTACGATCATTATAAACGACATAGAACCACAGAACTATATAAAAACCCAAGATACAAAATTGTAAACTAAAAACCTTTATACTCATTCAGTGATGTTGACCTAATATATGTAAGATTAACGTGTCAAAATGTTTTTTTTTTTTACAAATTTTGTAATAAAGCTACCTCTACATGTGGAGTTTCACATTTAGGATAAATAATGTACGCCACTCTTGTCGTGTTACCGATAACTACTTGATCTATTTAATTAAGGCCATTTCTGGGTGTAGCTTTTGTATGGTAGTCTCGAATTTTTACGCAAAACCAATATTGTAACTATTATGACGAATAAAGTATTTGTCATCCTGAACATTTAAAAATTGCAAAAGTAATAAATTGTCATTTTTTTCGTCTATTTTAATGATTGTAATAACAGTGTACGTTGAAGGGGACAGTTTATGGGAAAGAATAGTTAGGAAAAGCCATTGACTTGTTATATGTGAATGCTAAAAACATATTAGTAAACTAATACTAAGAAATTGAAAGTTGACATAGCTATGTTTCCCCGCAAAATTATCTATCTCTTTGATGTGTAAAAAATAATAAAAAATATCCGCCTGATTCAGCATCGTCAAAACTTCTATAAAGTTGGTCATGTTGACTGATATGAATATGTAATTAATTTTTTTTTTTATTTATTTATATTAATAATTACAATTTAAATACAGTTTACACAAAATTATTTCAGTAGCCGATTCCAAATAATCTTGAATGCTGATGTACAATACTCGCAACTAAAAAACTATATAAAAAATCTTTGTAATAATATGTAAATGGAGATCAAATTATATAAAATTTATTGATTTAAACAAAAGCGTTTATTTATTTCTACTTAGTATGTTTATTTATTCTTATTTAATTGATGGCTCGTGACGATGTCAATTTATATGTAATACGAGTCGTTTATAATGTTAAAAACCGTTGGGTTACCAACGAGGTGATTTGAGATCTCACGCCGATAAATTTCTTCTAATCATAAATACCAGGAGGGTTAAAAGCCGATTTTACACGGGCCATAATAGGATTTGCTTTGCATATCCTGCCGAATTTAATAGGCCTCTCGCGCTGTAATCTCTATATTAACCGATTAGATCATTTACATCTAAGGGTTATATTAAGCAAAACCTATTACGATTCGTGTACAATACTAACAATAAATTGGGCAAACGCACATTGCTTTTGGACGCTAGTTCTTATTTTAAATTTAAAAAAATGTGTGATCAAAATTCTCTCGTTGTATCGTATATATAGTAATATAGTTAAATATTTACCCAATACTTGTACATGATATTGACATTTTGAAACATTCCAAATTTCTTACAGTCCGTAGAGCATAGTCGACGCCAATAACTAGTTTATTAGATATTGCCCTCTATATATTACTATGTAACTATACAAAATGCCCCTTGTGTTTTAAATCGAAACTGTTTAAGAATTTTTTACTTTGTTACTTTTATACTGATTTGAACTACGTACATAAAAAATATAATTGTAGTATAATTATTATTTTTAAGAAAATTTTGAATTGTATTCATGAAACAAAAGTACATTGCATTGTGTTTGTCACTTTATATTAGATAGAATTACAGAGAGGATGAAACACCTCAATAGCTATAGGTTATGGGCCACTACTATATTTTTGTAACGGTGGTGCCCTCTGATGCCGAGTTTCTATATCGACTTCATATAGTATACGTTTATACGTTAAACATTTAACGTTTTGGGATATTGTAGCAAAATGATTTCTTTTTGTAATATATAGATATACATCTTATACAGTTTCGAGCAGCAAATACGGGGCCATACCATAGTGATGCTTTTTCTCGAGATATTTCGTGTTGAGTGTACATTATGTAAATATTTTTTACACAACGCTATATAGAAATGTTATTTTTATGTATAAAATAAAGTTTTTTTTTTTGGCGATTTTATCGTATTGTTGCATGCTTTACAATGTTGATGTTCATCGGACTAGTTTATGTTGAAATAAAGTAATATTAGTGAATTTAATCGTTTGAAAAGCAATATTAGCGAAAATGTCTCATGGTAAAGAGGTAATTGTTGCCTATACGAAAGCGGTTCGTAAAAGAGATTATGGATTTGTATTCTATAATGATGTTTTATTTGTTAGACTATTTTTGAATCGAAAACTCTGATGGGTGAAAGTCATGTTGTTTAATTTTTTTTTTGATGGGGTTTTGGAATTATTCTCATATTCTGCTAAGTATTCAATAAATTATATTTTATTTTATCTATCAATCTCTAGGTAGGTATAATGTAAAAATGTCCAGAGAACAATAGTCCCATGAACAATAACTGTAATTCACGACAGGTGTCGTTGTCTCAACACTTGTTCGGAACATTGTATGATACATACCTAATGTTTTTACTGTATTCAGTCTCTCCTATCAGAAATTTGTGAAAGTATTTTTACGTTGCCGGCTATGGATTGAAATAAATCATTACAAATTTATTCGTTTTGTCTTTTTATTTATTGGTATATATGAAATTATTTTTCAGGGTGAGCCTAGTCTCTTAAAAAGGCGTAAATGCACTCTTAACAATGTCTTTGTGAGGTTTCTCTTGAATCCTGGGGTGAACACGAACCCTCCCTCTGAAGAAGGCCTATGTTTTATTATTTCCTGATGGATGCATGATGAACCTTTGAAAATACAGGATTTACTAGCAATAAAATAATCATGTGTTAAAAAACAGTGTATTAAAAATGACATATAAAAATACAATCATAAATGGAATTAATAAAAATAATATAAATATAATTTTATCAAAACAATTTTTTTTTTATTTACCACGGCTATTGGCATCTACATAATTTTTTTATAATGTTAATGTACTATCCCACAGTCGTGCAGAAAATTAGATATATAGTGCTTTGAGGATATTTTTTTGTACATAAAACATAATTACATATACATAAGTACTTATATTTTCTGATACAGCATATAAAATCAATATAGCTAAGGTCGTAACTTGAAATCGCCTTCAGATTACGACAAACATATGTTCCTTTTGTATCTATAGCTATTAAAAATAAAAAAAAAAAGAATTATAACCTAACATTTACTATCACCAATGCTTTATTAGTAGATACTATTAAATGCAAGAATGAACATTACACAGTGCTGCCACCTAGTAGAAAGTTCCTCAATAATGTGTAAGTTCCTGGTACACAGTCACCGGTGCCTGGAATTAACACCTACAAATTATTAGGTGTTGTATATCTATTATAGTGATTAATCAAGACTAGAGACGAACGTAGTCTACATCGACAGACTAATCTTCAATATGCAAATTTGATTAAATTCCTTCCATATTCATAAGAAAATTGTTAAAAAAGTAAAAATGTATGGTCTGTTTCAATAAAACTTACTGCCAATGTAAACACAACAAATTGACTTAGTAAATATATATCAAAACACAACTAATTGCTTAAATGTTTCGATTTGTTGCTAGTTTTATTTAGAGTTTTTATGTGACAATTTCAATAAAACTTGCTTACCTTTTACTTATATTATTTTTAGGAAGGGGTGGGGCTGATCCTATAAAAAAAAAGTGCATATGTACTATAAAATCTAGAATAATGTGTTTCCTGGGATGAGCACCAGATAATCCAATAGTTCTGGGGTGGCAAGCCCCCCCCCCCTCTCATCGCCACCTTTACGAGTATACGTCTATTCATATTCCTTACTACTATAACCCCATAACAGCACAATGTTAAAATGTTTATCATTGTTTCTCAGCCATATTTGGTCCCGTAGAATGTTTAAAGAAAAAATATATACTTAGTCTATTTCTAAAAGTAATAAATGGCGACATTTTATATTTCTCTGTATAGAAGTTTCATATAAAATCGTAGTTACAGTTTCGAGTATCTCGTAATTAATCACTCAGACTTATTATTAAGAAAAACGCCCAAAATTAAACAATTTTTGTATTTATAGACAATCTAATACATTCATGCAATAAATAATATATAAAAGCACAATAAATCCTCTTAGGATAGGGCACGTCTCATATAAGTTATTTAAAAAACTATTCTATTTTATTTAAAAAAAAAATCCTTTATTCATAAAAATATGCATGTTTAATAAACCTATTTTAACCTTATACATAAATAAATGTCTTTATCTCCATTGAAAAGTTGTTTTTGACTTAATTCTTAGTTTAAAATTTAAAAAACACCACTAGTTGAAATAGGTTTATGAAAGATCTTAATAATAATAATAATCTATAAATAAGGGTACGACTTATAAAATGTTAGCACTTGGTTATTCCTAGGTATTTATAATTTAGGGCCTGCGCATAGAATTTTATGCAATACGCATTTTTTATTCTATTTTGACTTACAAAAAAACACCGATTGGTCCTCATTAGTGCAGTTAAAAGCTTCTATATTCTGGCAATATATTTATTATTTGTTTGTTTTACAAAAAAAAATCGGAATTATTTAAGAATTATATTGGCTTAAAATGTTAACCGTTCAAAGAATTGCACATCTACTTATTTAGATTTGAAGTTTTCAAATACTATATCACTAATTTTTTTTTACTATACAGTAGTCTAATAAGAAACCTTAAGACATTTTTTGTATGATTAACGTTTTGGTTCATTATAAAAGCGCTTTAAACTATTAATATAAAATATATAGATAACACAGGACCCGATTCCAAGGTGTCACTTCACTTATCTTAACCCAATATTTTAATTTGATAGCTTCGCTAAATTATTGTTCTATAAACCGTCACAAACTAAATTTGTAATAGTTTTGATTTAAAAGTATTAGAAATTTAGGTTATATCGGTTTTTACAATAAAAATTTTGTTGTGGTATCAAATTTTAATTTTACCAATAAGTGAAGACAAATAGCGTCTCAGAATCAACCCTCGTTTTTTAATATTTAACTTTTTAATATTGACAGCTAATTCAGACGTGACCCGTCATATAATACTTAAATAAAAAAAAAAAAATTATTCTACTTCGTTACTATGAAGCCGCAATGTTAAATGACTGGGTCTCTTTGGTACGGGCGGCTTCCCTGACACCTCTTGTTGGCCTCCGAACCCTGAGTCGTCGAAGTCCTCTGGTTCCTCTTGGTCGAAGCTGTCTTCTGGTTGCTCGATGATCTCCACCGACTCTACAGAGTCGTCTAGGAAAGTGGACTGTTCTATTTCTTCCCTATAATGTGGACGTACACATGAAAGTAAGACTTGAATAGAAAGTAATGATATATTAATATAATAACATGTAAAGGAGTAAAGAAATAAAAAGGTGAGCATTTTAACAAGCTCTTGCATGGCTGTGTTGCGGTTTGAAGGGTGGGATATGGTGTGAATTTACTGGGTACGGAGGAATATCACCTGAGTCCTCAGGAATGGCAACGCATGGGGGGTATCATGGGTGAAACAGTATACTCTGTTATGTCCACGGTACTGCTCATGTCTATAGGCGACGGTTACCACTTTCCATCAAGTGGGCCGTCAGGTCGCAGCGGGTGGAAGGAAGTACCCATACTATTCTTTAGTATTATTACTTATACTTATTACTTATACTGTGGTATAACTCACACTAGGCACTGTGAATACAGGAACTTTCAAAGTAATCGTCAGTCGTCTGTATGAGTACCTTTATGTCGTGTTTTTGCAGCAGTACAGGCACGGCTTTAGTTACCACTATCCATCAGATGAGCCATCAGTTTGTTATTAGGATGTAAAAAATTTACATCATTCATAATAATAATACAGGTAATTATGAACGTTTGAAATATATTTTACATAGATAGGTTGGTATAGAAAAAACATAGAACAAATTATCACATCATAAACTCATATTACCATAGTACCGACATATAACATAAAAACCCATAAAACACAGAGTGAAGACTACAAACAAGTGTGACTCTAGCATTGAATGGGTACAAAACCAGTGTTCCTCCAGGCAATTGTTTGTTTAATTATATCAAAGCACGCAAGGGTGATATTTAAGGGTAAAATCGACATCATTAGAGTTCATTCAAGGGCATAGTTTGTTGTCAAACTACACAATTTTATCGTTTTTGATTTACCATATGCTAACAGCTCACTTTCCTTCAAATGCTGGAAAAATTGTATAGTTTAAAATGTCATTAGTCGATTTATTTTGGGAAAAATGTTCAGTCGACGTGTAGAAAAATTATGATACTCATAAAAGAATGCCGATATATTATTTATTTTATTTATTTAAACTTTAATGCACAGTGAAACTATGTACATATGGCGGAATTAACACCGGACGGTGTTCTCTACCAGTCAACCATATTACGTTATAATTAACTACTATATGTTCATCAGTTAATTATTCATTTCTAATTAGGTACTCGTTAAAAAAATCACTCTTAACAGTTCCATAAGACACGGTGACAAGTGTCACTCGTGCGTGCTGGTATATGCTGAACCTATACATTTAGTGCAAATATGTAGACAAGTGTTACTTACACCATGACTCCACACCATCGTTTTCTTATATCGTACATTTCCACCACCTCTTGCAACTCTGCTTATGAAACTATATTTGCTTAGTGGGTATACAGGTTAGTAGTAATAAATATGACAGGGCACGTGATACTTAGCCAACTTTCCCTAAGAAGCAGTCAAAATCTAAAATAAATATTCGAACGTTTCATACGAAATCGAACACGCGAGCTTATATGAAAAGTAAAAAAAATATTATGAGATTTATAGGAAAACGATTTGGGAAAAGTTTTTCCAGTTTCATGAAAAATATTTGACACAGCTCTTTGGGGAAAATTGTTTAGTTTTTTTTTTTCATGAATTATATTAAATATATTATAACAGAGATTCGGCTTGACATACCCATTGCTACTAACCTGTAAGAATGTGTATAATAAATTACAGCTGCATATTAAAATTCGCGTTTTTTTTTGTTCGCGTTTTTTTTAAAATACCTTTATACAATTACCACTGATTATAGAACTGTGTAAAAAATTATATAAACGCTCAGCGAAAAGCTTCAGTGCATTTTTCCCCCGCCGTAATCAATTTACCTACTTTTTTTTAAGTGTGACAATAAAATGGACAGTGCAATGGATTTGCTGCACAAATGTACATTAATAAAATTCTACGATAATAAAATATTTTAAAAGCAAATCTAGCTTTGTTGTAATTATACTATAATATAAAAAATTACGAATAAACAGGAGAAAAATGTAAAATATTACCTTTAACCAATACCTTGAAAGGCGAAACTGGTCAGGTATTTATTGCTACAAATTGTCGAAGAATAGGTGTTCTTATAATAATATTAATGTAATTTAAAGTAATACTATAACAAGTAATTCGAAAAGTACTAGAAAAGAACAGAATAGTTTTTAAAGCCAAAAGTACCTAAAAATTCAATTTATACTACTGTGCCCACTACCATAGGAAAATATAATTTTATAGTGTTTTTACACAACTTGCATGTGCAAAGGATAGAGAAAAAACATAAGAATAGTTTTATAAATTCCGTTTTATTTTATTCATAGGCTTACATAATTTTGTCTTTAAACATTAATGACAGCTAGCGTAAATCACTTAATACATATATACGAGTGTATATATCATATAGTTTTATTCTATATATTCATGTTTACGTAATGTAGTATGACACTATATTAAAAGTAATAATCGATTTAGACCGTTCCTCTGATAAAAAAATCAATAAAAATATTTTAAAATGTCTAACAAAATAGAAATTTACAATAATAAAAAAAATATATATATGTAATAAAACTAATCGTTGTTTTCGCGAGGAATGACTCTCGATTCAATAAATTGTAAAATCATCATCATCATCATCATCATCATAAATTGTAGAATCGTATTATAAAAATATTTCACAATAAACTTAAAATATAAAAACTATACATTTTTTTAACTAACAAGAGAAATAGTGAAATGCAGTCAAGGAATGCTGGTATATAGGGGAATGTTCTATTTATATAAATAGTACATATAATATATAAAGTATAATTATTGTTATGTATAAATGTATAGTGACTTTTGGTGCGAATATATTATGATGTTCACATTATATTATTAAAATATAGTAAAATAATTATTACTTACATATATTGCGTGTACATATGCAGCGTGTTCCCACAATATATAGCAACGCCCAAAAGTCATGGTTAACACGACGTCACAGTGTAACAAACAATTCCACGATCAAATCACTTCCAATTCCCACATAAAGCTATGGTATAATATATAATAAATAATTACATTTAAAGTACTCGTCGCCCAAAAAGAATATTGACAATATTTTGAATAATTAGGGCCGATTCTGAGATTCATCTAATTGCTATACCTAACAGGGAAATCTTTATTCTAAGGGCTAATATGAACTAAATTGCTTATAGGTTTAAGCCCAAATTAATATAATTTTAGTTTATGATGGTCTATAAAATGGTAATTTCGCCAAATTATCAAATATTACATTCAAAGGTAAATTTAAAAAATGACACCTCAGAATCGGCCGCAATGTTAATTTTATTAAATAATGTAATTTTCTTTTTGAGTTCATGGTACATATTGGGTCGTGTGTCTGTCCATGCCTATTTGTACCAAAGTTTACACAGGTAAAGTTGATTGCAAACATGTACTACATGTACATAAACAGTATTACATTACGCGCTAGTGATTTTAATGAATATTCAACTTTACAATGCCTATAATAAGCAAACGATTCAAATGTGTATGGACATACAAAGTATTTCACTGTACTCAGAAAAAGATATATAAACTCATACCTCTTTCTCTTAAAAAAAAAAAAAAAAACAATATATAGTACAAACTATGACACGATTTGTCAAATATATAGTAATTTATATTCGAAATTCAAACCCAGTACCTAGTATAGGACTGTGAAAGTATAAAAATTTACAATTTACAATTCTCTTAAGAATGTCAACTTAATTTCAGTGATTGGAAGCCAAAATAATAAGCCATAATCGTGGCACGTACACAATATTACGACATATAAAATTCTTAATAATTATATTAAGAGGAAATACGCGAAGAATGACTAATATTTCTTACATAGTAACACATACAAATGTTTCTATTTAAATATATAAAACCATGATTTATATGTCATGATATAAAAGCCGGACGCTTCGCCAGTGTCGACCACTTCGAAAAACTTTATTTTCCCGTCCAAATGTTTATTTCGTTGTAAAAAATGTATAAAAACATTGACACATGTGTAATACTAATGATCATAAGTACTAATTTAAGCCGACCGTTAAAATTACGTAATTAACTCGTTTCATTGTCACAGCATATATTTGATTGATTGACCAACGAATGTCGTATTAATTAATATAATTAAATATATTTTTAAATCAATCACGTATAAATATATTGAAAATTAAAATAGTATTTTTTTTAGGCTTATAGATTTTATTAAAAGTATAAAACCTAGAATAAATTTACTTTAACTATAAATATTTGTGAGTTTTGTCTTATTTACCAAGAAATATTTGGATTGCTAAATCCATATTTATTTATATAATAGATAGATACATAGATATTTAATAACTTTTTTTTTATATATTTTGATAGTAAATTTAGGTATTGTTTTTATTTACTCATGTAACATTTTTAATATATTTAATTGGCTGTGTTATATTTTATTTACTTCTCTGCTCTTAAACATGTATTTTGTATTTTAATTAATATAAAATCTATGTCTATTATATGGAATGTTTTTATTAAAATTTGACGAATTACACATTTAGGAAATTGACAGCCCTGAATCGAAAGTAATTAAATGTCAAATATATGCTCTCACAATGCACGTCCTGGACCTGCACGGTCCACTTAGCCTATGTATTAATAAGTTACAATATTACATACAAATGTTACATACAGTTACACAATCCCACCTATCTAGCTTTACCTGGGACGACACAACACATTATCCTTCACCAGTGCCACCTTACCAGCGTTTGGAATGTTCCAGATCAGTCTAAATATGTTTTGGCGAGAAAAGTAATTTTACCATTATTCCAATACAAAAAGAAACAAAATTATATTAAACAAGTTTGTCTCTTGGACTATAAGAAAAAAAAAATTAGCACAATAAATAAAAAAAAATGTAGTCATGACAATAAAAATCTAATATATTCTACTTGTCTATAAAAATCCTTGCTGTCTACTTTCTTCAATGTAATATATCTTCAACTGTATGGAAAGATTTAAATATAAACACTGATTTAGCCTGCATACAGTATTTTAAATCTTTTTGTGAAATTGACAATGTTGTTGTAGTTTTCAATAGTATTTGTTTGTTTAATTTTGTTTATATTTGTTTAATTTTGTTTAATTTTAGTATTGTTTAATTTTGTGTTTCGTTTACTTGTATTTTATTTTGTGCAAAGTCTAGTGGCTACCAAATTACTATTTAAGTATATAATTATGTATTATTTTAGCTGTTTGTTTGCCTTAAATAAATAAACATTACTCTTCTCGCCAAATGTACCACAAGCAAGACTACTCACTGTTGCACGACAATTATTATCAAATATTTGAATTTCTTATAATATTTCTTGTACCAGTAGGTGGGTAATATTTTTTTTTTTTTATATCAAAACAAACCGATTTCTTTTGCTCCTCATTTTTCTAAATTTGAAAAATGTAGATAGTAAGAAAACAGTACATCGTAGCTTTTTAAGTCCTTTGATGTAAAAAAAGCTTAAGAATAAAAGATGACCCCTTCCCTTGCTTTATAAGACTATTTTAATATTTTTTTTTTTTTTCATTTAATTGCTCACTACTGGACTTTGATTTTCGTAATATGGTGCTAGCAAACAGAACTAACAAGACCGTATCTTACTCGTTACAATAACCATCAATTCCCAATACATTTTTAATAAAAACAAAATACTGTCATTGATTCATAAAGGGCAACCAAAGGTTCATTTTAAGCTGTATTTGGTTGCATACTGGACAATAATAATATATATAAAATTGTTAATCATAAACAATCACCTTACGGTCATCAAATTACCTAATAATAATGACTTTAAAAAAAAATTGATTCTGTCTATAGCATTCCAAACAGACCGCATTACGTATGCATTTTCTATCATCTTTTTGTCCCATAATAGCCATTGTTTTGATTGTAAAAAAAAAATCGCAAGCTATCAATGTACAGTTTTCTCGTAAACGCGCACACGTGTGCAAATATCGTGGAGTTCCGTGGACTTACGGCTTGGCGACGGGCGCGTCCATGGTGGGGATGTAGTCGAGCGCCATGAGGCACGCGAACACCGTCATGATCATCTTCGGCTTCCGCTCCGTGATGTCCTCGGGTAACGCGTAAACGCGTGCTCCGCAGCGGCGCGCCATCGATATCGCGTATTTCGCGTTCGCTAGGTTCTCCTGGATTTACAAACACATGCAGAAGTGTTAAAGTTAAGTTTATATGACGCTTAGAATGGGTAAAACAAATACATTTTGTAAATAAAAAAAAACAAGCAATTGCCCTGCTAATAAAGGAAGTATTTAAAAAAAATAGTCAACGTCAATCGTGATGACGTAAGTATTCTAATAATACTAATAATACATTCGAATCTGTTCAAGCATTTAGAAATTAAAATAGTCCTTTATGGGCAGTTTTGTAATAAGCTGATGGCCTATCTTCGTATATCATAGCATATACTGTGATTCGCTAGTGATGATGTCGCTGTATTCTGTAATTTCACTGTCATATCCCACACTTTAATTCGAAACAGTCATTCATGTATTGTCCATTTTATTTTAAAAACAGTAAACACATTTGAATTGTTCAGGCGCATCACTAGTCGATCGCAATCGACTCTTGGTAACGTCCCATCACTAATACTGTAACCATATTGTATTTCAAGAAGAAAAAATGATCTCCATTCGATTTAATATAAAATTCATTAATACAAATATTGTTAGTTTACATTTATTTTAAATCAAGAACCAATATACATCTCAAGCTGAAACAGAACTAAAAGGTATTTTTTATACCTACATCTTATATATAAAATTCTCGTGTCACGGTGTTTGTTACCAAAATCCTAAACGCGAAACGGCTTTACCGACTTTCATGAAATTTTGTGTGCAAATTCAGTAGGTCTGAGAATCGGCCAACATCTATTTTTCATACCCCTCAACGATAAGGGTGACCCTCCCCAAAATTTTTTTTTTATTTTTTTGACAAATATATCCATTTTTATTTTATTATGATTTAGCATTGAAAAATACATGCAACCTCAAATTTTCACCGTTTTACGATCAACTCCTGTTTTTTTATCGCGATTTTTATATGCTGCAATAGGGTTGCAAAATGGCAATCCAATATAATAATTGTAGTACGATGTGAAAATACAATGTATAGTTCTAAAAATAATGTATATGGTAAAACAACGTTTGCCGGGGCAGCTAGTATTTATATAAAAATTAAAGGACTACTTTTTGTAAGAGATCCTTAGTAAATTCAATTTGCACTTGGCCGGTGATTTTTTTTTTATACTAAATGATCAATAGTTTACCTCCTCATTGCCGCCAGGTAATACAAGGTCGTAGTTGATGGACCCCGGTTTGATTGCGTCGATCAAGTCAATGACCACCTTGCCATCCGCCAACACTTCATCCTGTCATAGAAAAATATTATGATAACATTTATATGTACTCATAATTGAAATAATCTTAGAAGGCATTGGAATTCCAAATAGGAATTAAAGTTCCGTTTTACTGAACTAGGTGTAATGTTGCGGAAGTCCATAGATAGATAGATAATTTATTTGCATTACTTACACAAAGCTAAATACAATTTTCGTTTGTGAGTGTGCCATAGCAATACAAAATGGCCACAACTCAGTTTATTGCTTCTCCCTCAAAAGAGCAAATCACTGATATTCTGTTGCGGCCAAAGGGAATAGGGTAACAATAAAACAATACTACCAGATTATCCGTACAATAAAAAATGATATACAGTAAACAGACAGATATGACAGTTTATCTAGCAGACAAATGGAACATAGAGGTAACTTGCAGGAATGTCTAACTTTTGCCTCTCAATTAAGAATTTTTGGAAATTAATTTCAAAACTGGATTGGACCATAGCACTGGTTATTTGACTAGAATGTGTGCGACTCCGAACATTCGAAGATTGAAAAAAATTATTTCATTCACAGATTGGGTACTAAACGGTTAACACCATCTCACTATTTGTCTAAAGATGCCTCATTTAGAGGTGAAACACGTGCGTGAACAATATGGCAGTCGAAAACAGATAGCTAATATGGAAGGCTGTGGAATTTCTGGTAATAAAAGTGATTGTCAATCTTCAGTTTAAGAGATAATTTGAAATGTTTCCGAGCATATGAGAATCCAGCGTTGCAGAAGACGAAACTGTCATCATCAGTCGGTTTAATTTCTGTAGATACCAAGAGTGATAACTATATTTCATCTTCACCAGTGTTGAATTATAAGTTCATCAATAGATTAAATGCAAAAAGAATTTTTCAAATCTGATTGGTACAGATTAGCGTATTCAAACAAAAAATATCTTATTTGGTATAGATATGTATTTAATACCTATTCATATATTAGTTATTTATTAAATGTTATGCTTGATGACAGCAATACTCCCTCAACATATATAAATTCAATGGCTATGATTTCCTCTTACAAGAATACATTTACAATAAAAAGTCGGTATTGACCTGGAAACTCCTGATAGAGGATGTCTTCCCAGCGGACTGCAGCTTGTTGTTGACCCACTGCACGATCTCCTTCTCGATAATGGGGTTGCCAGTGTTGGCAAGCCGTGTCAGTACGGACAGCGTGTACGCGCGCATCAGTTGCCAGATTAGAGCTGTAGACAATAAGTGGAGATTAAAAAAAATTACAAGATTAAAATAAATATTGGCATTGCTTAATCACAACCGCTGGTTAGTTGTTGGTTATTTCGATACAATTATTATGTCTACATTTAACAATTGGTGAAAATAATATGTTACACAACTTTCTTTATTCTTTATTGTACACAAACATAATGTTAAGAACAATTAATTTTAATACATACATACAGTTAGAACATTTTGAGAATTCAGTCAGTATGACACGCAAATGTAGTATATCACGAAATTGCAATAAGCATCTACGTATATAGATTAATAGATATAAGATATTTACCTACGTATAGAGATTGCTTAGCAAAAAGACCGCCTTTTGTACTACACTATACCTATCGAAATTGTTCAACAAATCCTATAATGTTAGTGCAACAAAGTGTTAAATAAATAAAAATAAATAAATATATAACACGCCATGATATATGCCACAATAGCACTATCAATCTATTACTAGAATACAGAGAATACGCAGTTATTACATTACAAGAACACAACTAATATAAGTACGCAACTGAGACGTTATAAGAAAGCAGTTAATACGTTGTGAGAACGTCGCTAATACGCTGCGAGTACTTACCGAGCGTGAGCGTAGCGTTCCCTTCGTTGATGTCGGCGCCGGCGATGCCGACCAGCGAGAAGCCGAGCCGCCGGCCGAGCTCCACAGCGTAGTTGCAGTTCTCCAGCCGTTCCATGAACTTGCGAAGCTTCGAGAACTGCCGGTGCACCTGATCACAAGAATAACAATAATATTTTTATAATACTTAGAACGGTAAACAAGTTGATGTTCCAACTGATGGAAATTTGTAAACTATCGTCTAGAAACATGAATAGCACCACGGATTATAGTATTATGCTTCCGTATTGTACAATTTTACTGCTATGCAAACACAGCAAAAATAAGAATGGGACTGATATATATATATATATCTGTCTACTGCTGTACATAGCTTCCCCCATAAAGGGGGTTTGCCAATAGTTGCCACGCTTAGTAGGCAGGTTGGCAACCACAGTTTGGCTTTTGGTAGTGTTTTAAAAGGGATGCTGCTGCCCATACCTCCTCCACCAAACTCCCTTAGTCGTCTCTCACGATATTCACGGGAATGGAATGGGTGGCCTATCCTATGCTGGGACCTACACGACTAAACACCATAGTGATTAATAAATAGGAAGTGTCTCTTATTATTTTTACAAATAATTTTATAACTCAAGAAAATATTGTGTTAAATAAACAAATAGATAAATAGGTAATCAGCGTACCTTCTTCCAGTCAACAATGCCGGGCTTGATGATGTCGTACAGTTGGAAGATGACAAGGCCGTCGGTGAGGTCCGAGTACAGCCAGTTGACGTGAGGCGCCACGCCCATCGAGTTCATCCAGTTGCGGTACGCTGCAATTTAGTATATTTTTTTTTTACACAATGAGGTTTTTTTAATGCGTTGTATAGCACTATTGTTATATACTGGGTATTAATGGGGAGATAGGTGAGGTTCATCAAGCCAGTCGGTACATGTGACGAATTCATAAAAAAAAAACTACGATGGGGTAACTGTGTAGACCTGATAGGGTATATTGTTAGCAATAGGGTAATTACCCCATCACTAACAATCCCTTTCCCCCTTACACTTTACACTCCAATTAATGAAATTTCATCCTCACTGGTATTTCATTAGTTTTTTTTTATACAACTTAGAATGGCAAACAAGCTGACGGCCCGCCTGATTGAAAGTGGTAACCGTCGCCTAAAGACATGAGCAGTACCACGGACATAACAGAGTATACTGTTTCGCTCATGATACCCCCATGCGTTGCCATTCCTGAGGACTCAGGTGTTATTCCTCTGTACCCAGTAAATTCACGCCATATCCCACCCTTCAAATCGAAACACAGCCATGCAAACACAACTGCTTCATGGTTGAAACATGAATGGGACAGAGGTACCCAAGCAATCGACTTTTGTACAAAGTCTTCCTCTGGTGATAATAATAACGCAAACGGGTTTATTCTCGATACATTCTCATCCGTTAAAAGTCTACCAGTGATAAAATTTAGTGAAAGGATAATTATCCGTAATGAAGGTCAAGGGACTTACTCTTCTCCTCCCTGGTCTCATCCAGCTGATGGTACTCCTCGTGGTCGTCCTGTCGTTGCAGACCAGGATGCTGGTTGAACAAGTTGGCCACAAAAGCCAAGTTGAGCTTGTACACTCCGCCCACCACGTCGGCTGGCGTCACGAACGCGCGGCACCGCAGCTTGGCCGCTTGCTGCAACATCAACTCCGCGCGACGCAGGAGGTCGGATTCCTGGATGCAAATGGTAAAATTCAATCACAAATAGAATATAGTTGATAATTTAATATCAGATATTATTTTAAAAGAGCAATAAGACGCCTTGTACAATGCAATATCAGCTATTTAGAACTCAAAGTATAAGTTTTGCTTAATTAAAAACTAGATGGCGCTGTGTGTAAGGTTCATATTATTATTATGAGGTCCTCACGTACCCGTAGCGCATCAAGCGTGACCCCGGCGTCGTCGGGCGCTATCTGTTTGAGGAGATACGAGTAGATCTCCGAGTCGGCCACGTCCTGCTGGAAGTTGGTGCAGCGGCGCGTTATGCCCGCCGATTGCAGCTGATGGTTCACCCAGCGCAGCAGGATCGCCTCCGGGGATAGCGCCAACAGATCCTCGATACGTTCCTGGAACAGAAATAGTAGAATAACACTTATTGTCCAAAGTTTACCTCGATGTCCGAAGATTACTGTCCGGTTTATGTGGCATTTTCTATCATGTCCCATAATATTATAAAAGTAATTTACAGCAGTAATTTTAAGTCGACTAGGGTCTAAGTCCCCATGGGCTGCAGTGAACCAGTTAGGTAAAGTGTAAATTTGTTAGTCTCTTATATTTTATCGGCTTTTTTTTATACTGGCACGACACATCGACTCCATAGCTTTTTGATGGTGAATGATTATGAAATCCATCTGTGTGGACCGCAGGTCCAACGTAAGATTGCATCTAACCTGCAGCCCACACTACATCAGCTTATATTATACTTTTTCATTGCAATTGTTGTTGGTAAATTATAGCAAATTGGGGGCAAAGGGATTGTTAGTAATGGAGACTGAGAATACCATTGCTAGCAATATACCCAACCAGGTCGACCTCCTCGCGGTTCCCCCTGGAAACTATCATGGTTAATTCCTGATGAATTCATCATGATGGGCTAACTGCCTGTTTTAATTCTCATCAATCACCCTTCACTGGTGCTCCGCCAGCGTATCCCGTTAGCACAGGCGGGGTTACCATTCCATTTTCACCCATAAAAAAAAATATAGCAAATTAGAAAATAAAAAGATGCGAATCAACATTATCTACTACAATCAGCTACTAATTTGTAGTAAATTTGATATATGTAGGCTAGGTAAGATTTTATTATACAATCATGCTTAAATATCTAAACACATGTGAATAAAATTTGGTACATAAATAGATCACATCCAGCCTTAACAGATAGGATATTTTTTATACTAAACAAACCTACAAAATTACCTGATCATTGAGCAACTCAGTAAGTCCTGGACAGTGTTCCAAAGTGATCTGGTTGAAGAGACCAATACGAATGATCTGCCACAGTAGACCCAGTACCAGGTGAGGTTTGCCTGAGAACATATAAGTTAAAAATAATTATCAAAGTTCATAAAAATGACTGTTTATAAATAGAAAAAGGCAGGTATGTTGGTTTTAGGTGGGTATTCACATGTATCATAAAATATTTATTACAATTTTATTATGTCCTGGTACAAATCTTAGCCGAAACTTATGATTTATCAAATTCATATTCATGTTCAGATAAAAAAATATATAGAGTCAAGTTCCCTCTTGTATAATGTTTCTCTGGGTTTGTCATATTTCCTTGTGTGTGCTATGTGGTGCTATGTTTATATGTATACATATTATATATTATTTTTTATAATATGTAGTTTATTACATTATATAAATAATATGTATTGGATATTTTTCTGTAATATAGGTTTTGTATTTTATGGATGTAAAAATTATTAATTCACTCTTGTGCCATCTACCTAATTCTATTTGTTCTACATTAACCAATTGTTGTCTCTAAGATTGCCTTAGGGAATAAAATCGCCTGTTGTACCTTTATGCCATTATTTTGATCTGTCCTTTATCCTACTGTATTTTAATTTGAATGATGTTAATTATCATTGTAAATTTTATGTAATAGATGCAATAAAGAGTTAAATAAATAAATACAACAAAAAAGGTTTTAAACTGGACTTTCGGTTCACAATAAGGAAATTGTATATTGTTAATATTTATAATGTGTGTTATTCTTTAAAGGGAACAATAAAGAGTTTTTATTCATTCATATCGTCATTGTCGTAGAATACTGACGGATCTGACGAATATTACATATATAGATCCGTCAGTATTCTACGACTATGACGATATGATGATATCTTACCCGAATTTGCTACATTTCATTTAGTAAAATAACGTATTAGTAAACGTAGTGTAGTATTTTATCATATCAATATGTTTTTCAGTAAAAAAATTCGAAATTATTCGACATCTTCCGTCATTTCCTGACATTGCTTCGTATTTCATGACACCCTTATATATTTATTTTAATTTCCCTGCGACGTATAAATATTAAAAAAAAATACTATTTACCTTTAGCAAGGTCGTGTGCATCAATATTGACGATGTTGCAACCGATGGCTTGCGACGACACCAGCGCCAGTGTTAAATTTTCGTGCTTCGTGTAGAGAGTCAAGTTTTTCTTGTTTATGGCGCGCTCGTCTATGGTGTCAGGACACGAGTGGTTTATGACCTTGCTGTAAATGAAATAAATTTATCTATTTTATATGTACTTATTTTGTAATGTAGTTAAATTGTTTAAAACAATAAAAAAAATATTAGTTTTCATTTAACTGGTATCAGTAAAATTAGCAAATAGCAGTAGCATAGCCATAAAGTGAAATAAAGTATGATGCAAGAGGAAAGGAGAAAAAACAACTTTTGTGAAGTGGCTCAGAAATGGATGTTCTGGGTCGTAGGTTCAGTTGTTTATTGCCTGGTCCTCATAACTCAGGGTATCCTTAGCTTGACGGCCAAGAGCATAGTATGATTGTGTGGGACTTATTAATAATTCAGTCAGTTATGATATACGAATAGACAGACGATGGTAATGATGATGATGATGATGATGATACTAACATCGATTGAATAGAATGTTGAGAATTAATTTGATAACTTACCAAAGTATGAGACCGTCCTTCAACTTCTCGTAAAGCTGTTTGCCTTCAGGATCTATAGGCAGAAGATATTTCAGGTCTGGATCGTGTTCCAAGTTGCTGTTAATCCAGCCGGAGAAAGCCATTTGTTCCTCCAAACGCACTGAGTGGGTTGTGCCTGAAATACAAGCAGTTTACGATATATTTTTGTACATTTATTGTACCGCTAAGATGGCGAATAGGAACAAGATTATCCTGATGGTAATTGGTATTATAGTAATCAAGAGAACAAAATAATTTATTCATATAGGATATATTGTGGTCATTCATGGATGACAATTGAATCTTTTTTTTTAAGAATTAACTAAACTAACTAACCAAAGAATTTCTCCTTTGTTTTTTTGGTCTCAGTCCAGACAGAAAACAGGCTGACAAATTGTCTATTGGTCGAAAAATGTTTCATAGGTATTATTTATTTAAAACTCAAAACATTTCGTTTCATCTTTATAGGTAGTTGTTTTTTCATAATACAAGGGGGAAACGAGCATGCGATTTAGCTGATGGGAAGTTACTACCCCCTTCCATGAACACTCGCAACACCGAAGGAATTGCAGATACTGCCGGTTTTTGAGTTTTATTGAATAGCGCGTGAGTAATATTTTGCTTTCTTATATTAGGTATCTATTATAATTTCAATCATGGATTGTCTACTGTTGAACAAATATCTACACAACTGCCACAAGGAACGGCCTTAAGCCCCTTGCTTCCATTAGCATCTCGTCACCAGACACTTAAGCCTAATATATATATGTTTATTAATTAAAAATATATATACCATCGCTGGATGCTTCGCTCATACCGCCCAAGTGCTCCAAATTTTCCTTTTTGCTCACGGCTTGTTTGAACGTACTGGCAACCTGGAATAAAAATTGAAACGATAAAATTAACAATGTTTCCCGTAATGTATTTATAATTAGGTATTGTTACAAACTGTTTGAAGGGTGACACTCAGGTCAGCAGATAATACTAATTAATGATGTCATACGACCTAACTTGACTCCTTGGCTTCGGGTTATCTATATTCAATATTTCATTTAAATCAGTTTAGTGGTCCAAACATAAAAATGTTCCAGTCGGAAAAAGAGGGGCTTTTTTGATGGATGATAATGGAATGGAAACCCCGCCCGCGCAAACGGTATATACTGGCGGGGCACCAGTGAAGGATAACAGGTGAGAATGAAAAGGCTGATCAGTTAGCCCATCGTGATTAATACACTTGAGATTCAGCACGATGGTTTCCAGCCCCATCACCATCGTGGTGGCCGACCTGACAGGATATATTGCTAGCAATAATCCGTACAACTAGCAACCCCCCCCCCCCCAAAAGAAGGGTTAACAGACAAACTAGGGGTTAACAATCAAAATTTAGAGATTGGATGCTTAATTATTGTTGTCTGACAAATGAGCAGACATCATCATCACCTATCATCTCTAATTGATAGCCAGCTAGCGTAAATCAATAGCGCAGAGAACATTGGTAAGATTGATTCATTTTTATCCATAAATATCCATATCAGTACATTATTTATCCACTGTTGAAAATAGGACAAGGGATTTTTCCACTATTTTATCCAATAGTTGCCATGCTTGGATAATGGAAGACGGGTATGGCACCAGTGAGAGATGATAGGTGTGGATAAAGCATTTAGCCCATCTTTGATGATGTTTTAAGAGTGACACTGCTACCCATCACTCGACTATTAAGTTGCCTTGTATGTACTTATTTGATACATTTATCATTGATACGTTTAATATGATAATATATAAATTATATATTTTCTATAATTAATTATGATATTTATCAGAGTTAGTGATAGCAGAATTTTAAAAATATATGTATTGGCTTTTGAAATGATAAAAGTGTAGGTAATGTAGGTAAGTAAACATTTTATTGGTGTGGTGTTTGTCATTAATATCTATATCGAGTTAATGGGCATGGAAATACAGACAATATTTATTTAAAATATGAGAACTTTCTACAAAGTGTATATATATATATATATATATATATATATATATATATATATATATATATATATATATATATATATATATATATAGTTCATACGTATATAATATACTATATATTGTATATATTAATAATGGATATAATAAATATCAATTATCCAATGTATAATATCGAAAAGAAAAACACCATCGGAATGAATATAGATAGATATCCGACCGGTAGGAGCGACACAATCATCAATCTCCATATAGGAATATTTGATATGTATAATATTGGAATTGTGCCGATATTCTCAAATTAACACTATCTAGGAAATATTTTGTTTGCTTGAAATATAAAGTACCTTAAGTCCTCTATTTCGAATATAAAGTGCTGTGGGTAGGAACGGTTACTAATGGGGACTTTCAGCTCCATTGCAAGACACCATTACTAGTTATACATCCTATTAGATCGACATCCACACAGTTTCCCCTGGAAACCATCGTGCTAAATTCCACGTGTATTCATCACGATGGGCTAACTGACCTGCCATTTCATTTTCACCTATCATCCCTCACTGGCGCCCCGCCGGTGTATAACGATAACGAGGACGGGGTTACCGTTCCTGTTATTATTAATTAATTCGTTATAAAAAAAAATCTATGATAGATTGAGCTGTTGAGGCGCCACGAGGTAACAAACAAACTCACTTTCCATAATATTAGAGTAAAGATAACGCACACAAGTTTAAAACTGCCTCTTATATTCACAAACACATTGACGAGTTAAGTGTTATGTTTGCGTTTTTATGAGGTGTCTGAAAGTAGCTGTCCGTAGTACATTGACCTGGCGATGAATATTATTCGCATCAACTATTAAAGCTGATGCGTTTGTGTAGTACATTATATCATTAACCAAACCCAAAATAGAAGTACAAAAAATTAAATGTATTGTCTGCTCAATGCCTTTAAACTCTTGGTAGGTCAGTTAACTTACAAAATGTTTTTTTTTTATTCAACTCATTAGAAATATAGTAGGAAAGAAACTGACGAGTCCACATGATAACAAATGATATCCGTCGTCTATAGACATGTACCATGAACATAATATAAAACAGATAGATAGATAGATAGATCACGCCCATAGTACACAGAGGAATAACACCTGATTCCTCAGGAATGGCAACGCATGGGGTATCATGGGCGAAACAGTATACTTTGTTATGTCCATGGTACTGCTCATGTCTATAGGCGACGGTAACCACTTTCCATCAGGTGGGCCGTCTGCTTGTTTGCCATTCTAAGTTGTATAAAAAAAAACACATCAAGCATTGCAATTGGCTACAATATTTTATGTCCATCTTCTATAATTTCACTGTAATTTTTCTCTAGTATTACTCATAAAGGGAGAGGTATTGTTAGTAACGGAGGCGGCTCCATTGCTAGCAATGTACCCTCTGTCAGGTCGACCACCACGCAGTACCGCCGGAAATCATCGAGATTGATTTATTGTTGAATTCGTGACTCTCTTTGCATCATTCTCACCTCACTAGTGCTGCGTGTACACAAATAGCGCAGGCGAGGTAACCATTTCATTATCATCCATTGAAAAAAATCACATGGGGGAGGGCAGATTGTTAGTAACGGGGCGGTCCAATTATTAGTAATATATTCTGTCAGGTCCACCTCCGTACAGTTCCCATTGGAAACCATCGTGGTTAATTCCTGGTGAATACTTCACAATGGGCTAACTGTCCTTCTTTTGTCTTCATCTGTCATCCCTCACTAGTGCCCCATCAGCGTATACCGATAGCGCAGGCGGGGTTACCATTCTATTCTCACTCATTAAAAAAATACCCTCACAGAATATTAATACCTGTGGTATAGTAGGGCTCAACCAATCTTGTAGTTGTAATACATGTGGTATTTGGCAAGGCGAACGACTTAGTCTACATTTTTTTCTCGTTTATGGATATATTGTTAGAACAAGTTTACATTTAATTCACATTATACCTATCACATTATTCAAGATTGAGCCTAATTTCTTTTCATAAAATCAATTTATATTCTTATTGCTTTATTGACGCAAGTTAGGCTTAATCAATCAGATGATAAGTGTCGTTAAGCCGTTAACGAGTCAATGGGTTCAGACTGCTTGACTTTTCAATTGGTTGACGTGACAAAATTTCACAGCGTGTTGATGTTGTCATATATCAATCAATATAATAACAGAACACGCGGTATAAACACCAGTTGCATAAGCAAACTGGCTTTGAAACTAATTTTCTGTGAAGAATATAAGTGGGCCATTTTTTGCAGCATTTACTGGCTTTTTCTTTAAAGGCGATTTTGGCAAATCGCATTCCGGGACAAAGCTAATTTGGACAAAGATTTATGAAATCATAAGTTTGCTCTCTTAAAACAAAAAAACAAAGATTTATTATCTTAAAGTTTGCTCTCTCTTTTTATAACTTTGTGTAGTGCAGTGAGGAAGTAAAAATAATACAACTTGTCAGCATTCTTCTCTTTCTTACGATATCGAAAGAGGCGACTAAGGGAGATAGCGTATTAATTATATCAGCATACGGGTAAAATTTAGATGATGATGAATAAAAGAAATACATGAAATAAAACTTTACCGAGCAGGCAGACAGCGTGGTTATAGTAACATACGGATAAAAAAAGATACAGACGACTTGAGTAACAACACCTTTTGTAGCCGTTTAAAAACGTGGAATTAGGCTGAAACGTTTTAATTTTACATTCTAACTTTGTTCTTTTAGTCGAAACAGATTTTTTTTGTATTTGTTTAATATTTAGAGCGACTTAATTAATTCGATATAGTCGATGTGTCCCATTCATTCAAGTGATCTGTATTTATATAAATATTTGGAAACTCACCTGTTGCGTCTTCAGATTGGCACATAATTCCTCGAATTCACTGAGTGAAATCCCATTTTTGCGCGCGTCTCCGTTCACGCTGCCGTTGACGCTTCGACCGTGTTTTGGGCCATTGTCGTAGTACTCCTCGATCATGCATCGGACCTGGAAACATTCGGTGAAAGGCCACGAAAATAAAGATGGCTGATTTTTTATACAACTTGGAATGGCAACAAGCTAACGATCCACCTGATGGAAAGTCGTGACAGTCGCCTATATACATGTAGATAGCGTCAACAATGCGTACGTGAGACCCCTAGATAGGCGGCAAACTAATCTGATGATAGATACGTTATCACTGCTGCGTGAATGAGATGAAAGGAGACAGCGACATCCTGTGTGATTTTTTTTTCTTCTGCGCTACAGAAAATACATTTATCGTTAATGGATTCGTTTGGCACTAGTCTAAAGCCTAGTGTTGCAAGGGTCTATATCTTGGGAACTTGGAAAGGCAACAAAATCAAAAGGCTCATTAGCTTGTTGCCTTTCCAAGTTCCCATTCCATCAGGTGGAGTATTCCCCACCTGATGGAAAATGGTAACCGTCGTCTATAGATGTGAACTGTACTATGAATTATTACAGAGTACGATATGGTACCCATGGTACTCCTTATATATTGCCATTCCTAAGGACTAAGGTGTTATGCGTTTATCATCAGTTTGGTCTAGTTTTACAAGCTATTAGTACTAGCCAGTATGTTAGACCACCATTGTGGTATAAAAAATAACATATCTTACCTTCCATTGTGGTATTTTGTATCCGACACTGTCGAGAGCATCCTTTAGTTCTTTGAGGTCGATATAACCATTGCCGGATGTGTCCAACTGAAACAAACAGATTAGAAAATTAATGTATTGCAAACTAGACCTTAGAGGTAACGTTTGAAAGTCAAGAATTACAAATATACGGATGCGCCTACGCCGTATGTTAATGTTTACATTACATTACATGTTTACTTTTACCATGTCTATTTGAAATTTGTATGTACTATCATAGTATTTTCTTAGACATGTGTATTGTTTTGTTTCCAAGCGACAAAAAGATCTCAATTATGCTTGTGTTACTTATTAGTATATTTAGAAATACCTTCACTAATACTGGTCTGATATTGATGAGTATTTTTTCGATTACACCTTTGCAAATTTTGTTAAAATTAGAGTCAGTTTCTTTTAGTGTAATTTTTATTTTCTTGACTCAAATGTATGTAAAGTACATATTAACGTCACAACTTTTATGATTAGATTAGATTTAGTCGATTATATATGTATAAATATGTATTAAATTCAGGGCAGGTATTATTGCAGCAATGATAGCCGTCAATCAGTTTGATTGATTAATTAATCACGTACTAAATTGTACTTTGAAATTTATACATAAAAGAAGTTGGTAGAAAAACGTTAAAAAATTTTGACACGGCGTGTCCAAACTGTTGAAGGTGGAGGGCTGTGATTCTCATTGATCCACATTCCTTGAGGTTTTTTTTTTAATTTCACTGACAGAATACTCTCTTAAATAGATAAAAACGTGCTCTCTTAGATTCCTATGCGCGTTTTTTTTAATTAATGATAATGGAATGGTTATCCTGTCTGCGCTAACGGTATACATTGGCACCAGTGAGGGGTGAGAGGTGAGAAAAGGCAGATCAGTTAGCCCATCGTGATGAATACACCAGGAATTCAGCACAATGTTTTCAGGGGGGACCACGTGGAGGTAGACCTTATACGGTATATTGCTAGCAATGGGACTGATAATCCGCAATACTAACAATCCCCTTCCCCCCCTATGCACGTTAAAAATACAGCTCATTTACTGATAAATGAATACAGTCAGAATCAAAGTAAAATAGTCCTAATAGCGAAAAAAGTCACAGGTGCGTAGCTAGTAACTAGTTAAAAATAAATTACGCAACACAAAATTGAGCCGTCTTGTAATGACAAGTTTAAAGTAGTTTTAGGTAACACTTAATTTATTTTCAATTGACATTTAAATGATGGCTGTCAAATATTATAAAACGGATCAAAATGAAAAAAAGAAATAGATTTGCGTAACGTAATCTGCGGCCTCAAGGGTTATCGAAACACCAAAATTCGCTTTCACTTAATTATGCGTTTTATGGTTAGATCTCAGAGTAAAAATACGTGACCGATAGGAGTGTGCATTAAAATTTAATTGGATTATGAAAGGGAAATTATAAACGAACTTTTCATCTTTACACTGCCCGGCCGTAAAAACGTATACACTGTAAATTATGTACACATGGGTGCGTTCGAGGTGGCCGACCACAATATAAACGCATATGCAAGTATTACCGACCTTGATGCTCCTTTATGTGGCAACTCGTTCAATATCTCTGTCGTGTACGTTTATGGTAGTGGAAGATTCGCTAAAATTTATCGACTTGAAAAACTAGTGGGCAATGTTACATGTGGCTAGATCATATTACATCTAGATGGAGTGTGAAGAGACACGTTCAAAAAATTGTTTTTTCATACTGTCTAAAGAAATTGAATGTCTGCCTGATTGCCTGCCAGCGAAAATCAATAATATAGGCATGAGCACTATCCCATAATCGACTACCGAATAATGGTAATTTATAGAAGATTGTTTAATAATAGAGGAGAAAATTATTTAGTAATGGAGAAATTCCAGTGAGTACGACACAATGGGCTCACTTGTAGATTTCATCAGTATTATTATTTTCTACTTTTACTCTGCCATTACATCTGTACTAGCATAAATGTATCGTCCAATTATTAGCAATTAAAAAACTACCAGAAGAGACCTTGACCGAGAACGCCGTCATCTTGTTTACCATTCCAAATCATATAAGAACTCGTATTGTATTAAAAAATTGTGGGAAATATGGTGTACTGGAACGAATCATTACATTCTTCGGATATTTATTGCAATCATAAAATATTATTTATAACCTTCAATTATAAACGATTAATAACTTAAAGCGACGTACACGTATGTTAATAAATAGGAAGCGAATCAACCTGACGAGTGAAACGGTCCCGCAATTAAACAAACGACACCGTGTTTGTTTAATTTAAATCAATATAACACCATATTACTCATTGATGATATAATGTGATATGATATATTTGGAAGATGTGAAGTCATAATGTCGATTGTGTTTAATAATAATAACTTTATGGAACAAGATCTCGATTCAATTGAAAATAAATAAAACGTAGTATTCGATTTCATTATAATTGTTCGATTATATTATAACGGGTTAATGTTTAATAACCGATAAAAACATCAGAACTGATAATGAATTCTTCGATAAATAAATAAAAAAAGATTCTGAATTCGGTTGTATTTTTTTTATACGCTATTTCATAACTCCGCCATTTACAAACCAATTTGGAGAATTATTTTTTTATCTGAAAGAATAAACTTTCAGATTGGTGGCATAGAATATCGGTTTAGTAATTTAGTTTTTAAATCAAAATAACTGGTTCTACCACGATTAAAATGTTTTTATTTTCTTTTTTGTAGAAAAAAATTAATATTATTGCATTATACGCTTTCACACTCTATAATTGCCAATTACAAACAGATTTTGATGGTTCCTTTTGTAATGTATATCATTTATACCCACGTTAGTCCTATACTAATTTTAGAATAACTCAAGTTTATCTTCGGTTATAACTGTGCAACAAGATCTTGAATTATAACGCATTTTAGTTAATACAACGAGCTAATGGTTAATATCTAAATATTATTTATGCATGTTGTCTATGGTTCTATATCTAAGATATGACATAGCACGTGGCCTAGACATATTGCGGACGTAACCACGTGGCCACAGATAATAAAATAGTTAATACGCCGACATTCAAAGCCGCGCTAAGTGGATGACAATACGAATAATTATGACAAGGTCTATCTAACGCTATCGATTTAAACATTTGGTAGCAAGACCTTGCATTGAATGTGTTTGCACGAATTTGTACTCTTGGAGGCAATAGACCTATATGTGGATGGATTGGTTTTGGAGTACAGTGATATTTTTTTTTTATTTTTTATAAACTTAGAATGGCAAACAAGCTGACGGCCCACCTGATGGAAAGTGGTAACCGTCGCCTATCTCGCATTCCAGAGCAGTATATCCATGGAAAAAAAGAGTATATTATTGCATTATACGCTTTCACACTCTATAATTGCCATTACTGAAACAGATTGTTATTCCTTTGTACCCATGTATATTCATTTATATCCCACGTTCAAACCGAAACACAGTCATGCAAACACAACTGCTTCACGGTTGAAACACGAATGGGACAGAGGTACCCAAGCAATCGACTTTTGTACAAAGTTTCCTTCTGGTTTTAGTGAACTAGGTGTTATCTTGCAGATGGACTTCAGTACTAGTTATTTGATTAGAATTATTTTGTTTAATTCCACTGTTATTAGTATGTATTTAATAATTTGCTTGATAATGCCTCGTTCAGAGGTGAAACATGTGTCGCAAAACGTGCGTTACAAAATAGCAGTCGGAGATTGACGGCTAATATGAAGGTCGTGTTTCAACCGTGAAGCAGCTGTGTTTGCATGGCTGTGTTTCGGTTTGAAGGGTGGGATATGGCGTGAATTTACAGGGTACAGAGGAATAACACCTGAGTCCTCGGAATGGCAACGCATGGGGGTATCATGGGTGAAACAGTATACTCTGTTATGTCCATGGTACTGCTCATCCTTCTATAGGCGACGGAAACACACTTTCCATCAGGTGGACCGTCAGCTTGTTTGTTATTCTATATTGTATAAAAAAATGGAGAATTATAATTTTTTTTAACGTTTTTAACATATTTTACTTTAAGCAAACCTTCAAAGGCAAGACAATGAATATTTTCATCACGTGCCTATTTATAATAATAATGCATATTATCTCCTCTGAAGTAGGTGAAGTTCACCACATTATTACGAAACTCTTTAATGGCATTAAAATGCAATATGTTAATTAAGACACGCTCTGTTTCCAACAAAAATTTCGAGTCAAGGTCGGTTAGTGCTCTCTATTATTAATATTATATTTCATTTGTAATTTGAATTTGGACAACACGAGAGAAGCCCCTAATACCTTGGAGCAGAAGTTATATCAGAAACAGAACATTAAGTCTTCTAGTTATTTCTTTAGCCTGTCTAGACTAATAGGAGTTAATAGTAAATGAGATTATTGGTCGATATGTTTTCGTTGATGCACATATGGAAAAGAAAAAGATATTGCTATCTCGATCTAATACGTGCGTGCAGTAGCGAAAACGTATCTATCAATATATTGTAAGCAATTGTTCCACTGCTGGTGAATTTTTAAACAAGGACCAAGATGTTGATATATCTTCAGGTTTTTTATTATCTTTGATAAAGAAAATGAGAATATTTCTTTCTTATATACATATGGTATAGATAATACTAGCGGCCCGTCCCGGCGTCGCACGGGTGGACATTTTTACATTTTAAAAAGTGGCCATTAAGGCTGCACAAGCGACGAAAACTTAAAAATGGAGTAACTTCTCCCGTTTTCCCAACATTTCCCTTCACTGTTCTGCTCCTATTGGTCGTAGCGTGATGAAAAGTATACAATAACCTACCCAGGAGTATGAAGAATAATTGTACCAAGTTTCGTTAAAATCCGTCGAATAGTTTTTGTTGCTATAACGAACATACAGACAGACAGATAAAAATTTTATTGATTGCATTTTTGGTATCAGTATCGATCACTTATCACCCCCTGATAGTTATTTTGGAAATATATTTCATGTACAGAATTGACCTCTCTACAGATTTATTAAAAGTATACTACAAACTAATTTGTAGATATTAAGATATAAGCGTGTTGACTTTATTTAGGTGTAAGTTTATGTATGTAATTGCCTTAAATAAATAAATAAATTATCATTTGCCTCAACACCAACAGGATACCGGAGAATCCAGACATTTATTTATTTAAAGGAACATCAACAGCATATTGCAATATATAACAAACATTAAATACAATACATGTTGATATAATCCAAAAGTAACGGCTTGACTCATATACAATTATTGAATAATAATTATGGCGTGAGTCAAGCCACCCGATTTAAAATATAAATAATAATATTAACATATTTAAAAGAATTATATATATATATATATATATATATATATATATATATATATATATATATATATATATATATATATATATATATATATATATATATATATATATATATATATATATATATTATTTTACAAATAATTCACTGATTATCATCGTAATATGTGTCATGATTCTGACAATTGCGTTGAGTCATGCGTGTAGTAAATTCTAATAATTTATAGCGATTCTCTTGATATTACTAACAATACGAGTACAAGATGAGACATAGTTTACAGGTTCAAAGGTGCATATCACGACTACAATGTCTAACTGGGTAGTCAGATGTATAAGTCCAGTTCCCGTTGTTACCCACATTT